CATTGAAGATGCATTTAAGTAAATTTATCCTTCAAAAGACAAGGTCAACTGGTTATGCATTAAGTACGCGTGCCTTTGTTTATGAATCAATGAAAGACATTTAGCACTCAGTTTTTAACTCATTTCATTTACATGTACATATATCTGCACACTCCTATGGAGGGAAAAATTTGGCCAAATTCTTTAATTTTAATGTGCCCCTATGGAAGGCTGTCTACCCACAGGATGATCTTATCTCAGTGAACAGGGTGGAAAGAAAGTTAGTTTTAAAAGCAAGCTGTAGCTAGTATGTTCAAGCCCAAGAGTCATTCACACTAGCCCACAAAAAGTTATGAGCGGGATTGACCACACTTCTTTCAAAATTTGAATTCCTCGAAAAGCTTCACTTGCCCATTAATGGACAAGTTAAGAACAGAATTCACTAGCCCAATAGAAAAGGCCACTTGTCCTAGGCTAACAGACATAGCTTCCCTTGAAAAGCTGCAGAATTAAGATCCTCCCAAAGCAATCAATGCAAATGATCTAATCATACTGAGACTTCCCAAATAAGGGAATATTGATTGACAAGATTGCAAGCCCCTCATAAGATAAAAGAGCTTTCCAGTACATGGTAAAATAGCAAATCTGATACTATATCTTAATTAAGCCCAAACTCAAGATTCAAGCAGGTCCATTCAAACACTCTGGGGAGGAGGTGTTGAAACAAATTAAAGTAGTGAGTTTACACAATAGGACTGCAGGAAGAAGAGGATGGCCAACTCTTGCGTGTGACAAATGTGACAGGGCTACTACTCAGAGTTCTCAATAAGTTTTAAAGTAGACAGCTAGCATGTAAAAGTAGGCGGCTTGCCAGTTGAGTTTAGTAGGCACGTTCAGGCTTTCACTCTCTCACTTTAATACCCTATTTTCCCAGAAAGTAGGAGGCTCAAGCCACCAAGTAGATGGTTTTTTAGCCCGCTGCCGGCACTTAATGAAAACCGTGATGTTTTCTTGTCCTTTACAAAAAAAGGAAAGTGAAGTTTGGCAAAGAGTTGTTCCAAACAAAACTATTGTCACGCTTGTCACACAAGATTTGCCCTCTTCTTTCCTCTACCGTCTTCTTGTGTTCAACTTTCACCAATATCCCAGTGAGCCAGTTTGCTGGACAAAGTCCTGTCTGCTGTGAGTGATCATTTATAAGCTTTGATAAAATTAATGGATTTTTACGGCATGGGAATGTTGGGCTTGATTTTACTGAGCAGTTCAATAGTTTAACAGTTTTCACAACAAGCAATACGCTCCTCCGTCCACAACCGTGCTCATGTTCGTTTGGGATTAAAAAAAATTAAATATAAAAATCCGTTTTCATACCTCCATTTTCCTTCCAGAACTAGTTTAGTCCAGTCAGTATTTTTCCCAATTTTTAAGTGCCCATCAAACAGAACAAGGTCGAAAACAAACCTTCAAAGAAATTTGTCCGCCATTTTTAACTGGTCGTCCAGGTGGACTGGGTCCTAGGTTTAAAATCTAGCAAGTGTTGCGGCTTATGTGATGAAAAAATAGCGCGAAATGTAAAAATTACACTATTTTCGCCCCACTGAATGGGCTGAACAACCCAAAATGGAAAAATAAGAGGAAAAGAGAAAAACAGAGAGAAAAATCCTCCTTTTCAGCAGCAGACAGAAGTTATGATTTATTTATTTTTTACAGCCTTCGCTGAACCGCGTAAAAACAAAACTGAGGAAGTGATTATTCACAAGGTTTAAAAGGGATGGTGGTGAATAAAAGCCGCCCCCTTGACTCTAGCTTCTTTAAATTGCAGACTTTGTTGAGGTTACTTGACGAGTCAAAGGTGGGGGGGAGGGTCGGGGCGAAATCGGTTCTTGTTATTGTGGAAACATTGTTTGTACTAGTGTTTGAACTATGCCTTGACACCTTTTTTAATCCTATCTTGTTAAGGGCTGACACAGAGTGATAAAAAACAGAAAACTTTTCAAGAAGTAAAACTCGAGGACAACGCAACTCTGCCTTGTCCTGTTTTACAAGAAGTAGTTGAGAAAGGCGAAATTTTTAAATTTGTTACTTGGAGTATTTGTACTTCGAAAGTCTGCGATGGAGAGGAGCCACGTTGGAAGTATATAGCGGGAATGAACGCACAAGGAGGAACCGAGAGTAAACAAAAAGGAATTTACATGTCACAGGATGGTTCGTTGTGCATAACGAAAGTTCAAATGAAAGACGTTACCACATATCAGTGCAAAGTGACCCCGCCAGACGGAACTGATCCAACGGCTCATAATATCACATTGTTTTTAAAAGAACCAGGTAAGATTTGTATCAATCTTTTTTTCCTTATTTTCTAAACGAGTGAAGTACTGGATGCGATATGCGACCCCAAAGCTTCTTGGGATCGTACGGAACGACAGCATGGTCAACAAACATGGCACACTATCTGGCATTATGATTCCTGTGTTCCACATCGCACTATTAAATAGTTTGAGAAATGATTCCTAAAGACCCTAACTACATCAAATACAGTCCATGTGTCATCTTCGCTCAAAATAACCTGGAGAGTGTCTTTGACAGGTGGCTTGCAGCTGTCCGCCATGTTTTTGTAGTCCCTCTCCCCGCCTCAACCACGTCACTCCTAACACCAGACGAGAACGTTTCTTCTCATTTCAGCGCGGCTAATTTTATCTCCTAGCCAGGGGTCGTTTAAAAAATTATAGAATTTATTGTCAGAACTACCGCGATGAGAAAGGTTTTGCTAGATCATGATCAATTATCTACAATATCTGTTTATTGTTAGTTATTTATGACTATTAATATCTCCTTACCTCTTGATTTTTTTTTCGATAGATTTTTCTGCAGCAAACCAGACTAAGAAACACACAAGATCGACAACGAATCCTAAAGCAACAAAAGGTTATACATGTACACAATATACTCAACATATATATAGCTATAGAGAGCAATATATATATATAGCTATAGAGAGCTGGAAAAGCCTGGGTCCTCAGAATCTCTCCACTTTTAATCATTCTCAAAGAAGACAAAATCCAGTGTGACCTATTAGAGTGTCTTTGACAGGTTGCTTGCAGCTGTCCGCCATGTTTTTTAATCCCTCTCCCCTCCTCAACCACCCCTAACACTAGACGAGAACGTTTTCTTCTCAGGTCAGCTCGGCTGATCTTATTTGTTAGCCAAGGGTCGTTTAAAAAATTATAGAATCTATTGTCAGAACTACTATACCGCGATGAGAAAGGTTTTGCTAGATCATGATCAATTATCTACAATATCTGTGTATTGTTAGTCATTTATGACCATTAACATCTCCTTACCCCTTGAGTTTTTTTTTGATAGATTTTCCTGAAGCAAACAAGACTAAGAAGAAACAGACAAGAACGACAAAGAATCCTAAAGCAACAAAAGGTTATACATGTACACAATATACTCAACATATACTCATTATTCAAGAAACTTTGATTTATTCATGTAATTTACAAACCGGTAAATGGCTCAGCGATTTTTTTGTATTATATATATATAGCTATAGAGAGCTGGAAAAGCCTGGGTCCTCAGAATCTCTCCACTTTTAATCATTCTCAAAGAAGATAAGATCCAGAGTGTGTGACCTTGGCCCTGCCCACACATATCCGTTTGTGTTTAAAAATGGGATTTTTTTTCTCCCCGTTTTTTTCTGCACGTTGCGTTTTTGTATCGTCTTAGCCCGTCCAAAAGAAAACGCAATTCTGATTGAAATTTTGGTCAGCAACGATTTTTAACCTTTCTTTTTCTCTTTTATTCCTTAGCTTCTGAAGGAATCCCCGACTATGTGTATGGAATGGTTGGAATAATAGTTATCCTTGTTTTTCTTTTAGCGGCAGCTATGGTCTACATAAGGCATCAAAAAAGAATGCTGAATGCTCGCTCAAATGCTTAGAGGGGCTCTGCCACGTGGACATTGATGCACTTTAGGTCAATTTTGTGCTATAATAGGCATTGGGCGCGTGCCATTTCTCATGTATAAATCTCTACGGAATCGGAGTCGCAAGATTCAAAATGTGTCGGTTTTCTTCTGACTAGGCATTTTCTGTCGTCTATTTTCTAGTGAAAAACAGATTGTCAGCATCATCATGGGACGCTGGGGAGTTATGTTTGACCTTGGTTCAACTAGTAAAAACTTGGAGCGCGAACTGCCTTGCTTGCAGCAGAATACAAAAAACGTGTCCGAGGGAAATGTCATGCGTATTGGAGAACTTACGCAAGACGATGAGAATTATTGTCGCTCTCCTCGAACAAAAGGCACGACGCGAACTGTCGAGAAGAAAAACTTGAATCCGTTTTATTCTTCCGATATGGCTGCGGTCATCGCTGTAGGTGGTTTTCGATAGCACAGAGTTGAACAGAAGATGATAAGGCACAATCCCCAGAGCCTTCGTTACTCTTGAGCAGCGGAACAGGCTTGGCGCTGACCAAAGGGGTCGCAGACGAGATTGCTTTCGCATGACCATTCCAGGGTGATTCGCGCTGTGAATGTAACGGGGATCTAGGTCATGCATAACACCTCCGCGCTCTCTGAGTCACAAGGATCTCCCTCCCTTGTACCGCGGGTCATCACGCAGCCCCCTTACCCAATAACTCCGTGGTGGTGAGGTAGTGCTGCGTGATAAACAAAGTAAAACCTGCTTAGTAGAATATTAAAAACACACGCGAAAGAGCAAACCAATGACAAACATACACTGTTCAATTCCACGCTTTGAGACGAGACTGGTTTCATCTGCTTGAGACGTCTATAATCTGCAGCAAGCGACGAAGTCATAGGTGGGAATAGCAAACTCTTTTTGCGACTCCGTTGAGTTGACGAATGGTCACCAGATCGTAAGGCTTTATCTTTGCGCCTGATTTGTGCTGCAGCTTCGTGGCTAGTAAGCCATACACCCTTTAAAATTTCATCCACTACTTCTTCAGAATTGAAGAGTAGGAAAATCTAAAGTAATACATATAAGCTGAATCAGTTTCAGCAAACAGGCATATTCGAAATTGGGGTCAATAACAAAAAAATTCAAGCGTAATTTACAAGTATAGCCATTGTTTTTAACCTCGAAAACAATTGCTACACTTGTACTGATTACAGTCGTAAAAGGTTTATTGATTTTTTTCTCCGATGTTTTTAACAATGTGCCCATTGAGATTTTTAATTTGTTTTTGTATGTAGCTAGGACTGGCCCATTGACCAGTATGTGGGCCAATTTCATGGAATATAATTGCTATAATCTGGATGTTACTCGAAACAATTTTATCATTGACTGAGGAAATAATGTCATAACACTTATTTATTTTTTGATTATTAAGGAATTTCACCCCACAAAAATGTTTTTTGTAAATGTTTTTCAAGTGTAAAACTTGTAAATAATACTCTATTTATATTAGCTGAAGATAAACGAAAGACAAACGACTGTGAAAGGAGCAAAAGTGAGACAACATAAGTTTACTTAACAGGTTGATCGATCAATCGTAATTAAAATAAAAGATGTATATTTTGAAAAGTCGACATACTTGGGCTTTCCGTATTCTTTATAGTTGACTGAAAAACTAATAATTTAAATTTTCAAATTAATTGGTAGTTTGTCTAAAATTGTTTTCATGCTAATAAAATAAAGAACATATATCTTTTTCCTGTAACGTTAGTTTTCCAGTTTTACTTAAATTCTTCCATTACTTGCTGAAACGAAGAATTTGTAAACAGAGACAAGCCCGAGGATTCTTGAAAATATATATATATTGATTTGCTGTATCTTAAAACTTGAAAAAAAAACATAAAAATAAAAGAGTGTTACTCTTTGTATTCATGGCCTTGAGAACGATTTTGTCTTGGTCTGTTGGCAACCTTCCTTTGTTTGACCAGCGGTTGGTGCGCTCGGAGCATGAGTAGTATTCAGTGTTGCAGTCACTGAGTACCATTTAAATGCCTAGGTGTAAAAGCTACAAACAGCGTATTCCTCGACATTTGGCCACAATACTGCATCAAACTATAATGCACCTGGCCGTGTACAGCTTTGTGACAAGAGGCACGTAAAATCTTTGGAAAAAGTTTTCGAATCTTTTAGAGTCGAGTCGAACATAAATGCAATGCATGCCACGTTTACATTAATGAGTTGATTCCAGTCTCCTTTCGTCAACGAAGGCCAATCCTACACGATGCCGTGCGGTGTGCTCACTAAGACGTTTGCTTGCTTGGCTCAATTAATTAAGCGCCAAAAAGAGCGCTTTCGAAGAGAAAATTTTTGTAAAATTGTTACTTTCTACAGGCTCTAATAAATGCATGAAAGTAAAAACTCAAGAAGATCGATAATTCTTTGGTTCTGAATTTTGATGGCGTCATGTGAAAACCAGCAGTTATCTCTTGTTTTTAATATACTTTGACTCCCTTTAGTCGACTGACATTCTTAAATACCGTAAAATTCCGAAAATAAGCCTGGGGCTTATATTTTTCAAAGGCCCTTTTTGAGGGGCTTATATTTGGAGGACCTTATCTATGGAGGGAAATTTGCGTTTAAAAATCGATTGGGCTAGCCTTATAGTTGACGGAAATTTGCCGCTTTTGCTTTGTTTTACTTTGTAATTGAGGGCAATTGCCAAGTACAGACCCCGAGGGACTTATATTTGGAGGGATGATTTAAGGTGGCTCGACTGGATTTTTTGGGGTTCATACCTCCCAAGTTTGAGCATTAACTACGTCGGTATGAGTAAAGATATCGAAAAAAAGTTACCACAACTGTATTATATAAAGATGAAAATTTCTTATGATCTGGGTTTTATTGCAATCGGAGTCGCCATGGCAACGTAATGACGCCATTATGTTTTTCATTTATCGTTGTGTTTCTCTGTACCAGGAGTTTTTTGGAGAAATCGCTTAAGGGAGTATGTACCTGCCATAATTGCCTCCATTATGGCAAAGTTTGAAGAAATTCTATGAGAGTGTTTTCGAGATATTTCGAAATGCAGTTTTAAGAATCATCAAAGCAGTGAAATAGCATGCTGGCCGCACAATTCGCTAATATTTTAAGAAAAAAGATAAGCTTTGGGAACGCGGCTTCATCTAGTAGTGGTTTGATTCCATTGAAAACTGCATACAAAAAAAGAGGGGAATTGCTCTGGGCGATCGCGAGTAAGAAGAATTTTATTAACTTGCATTCAGCTGCTTTTGATACAGTTTTTGGAGGTAATTTGGTCTATGCCTAAAAATTTCGCATTTTTCCAAAAACCGCTCGATAAATTTTTTTATAAATTCGACAATCCTGAGATCAATTGTGAAGAAATATTCCATGCAAGTTTCAAGAACATTGAAAACAGGGAAGGCTTTTAAATAGGGACTCAAACATAACCAATTTTCCCCCCAGATTTAATGTTTACAAGTGAGCGTCCTCATTATTCACTGTTTTCAAGTTTCATATGCACGTGCACAACTAGCAAAAGATATAAATTTGCATCAAAAAGAACTCTCGATTACTTTCCGAAGAAATATCCGGTATATGCTAATAATTGGCTTGTCGTCACAGATAGCAGTGAGAGCCGAAACGGTGAACGTCACGGCTCATCGTGTAGGATGCAATAGTTAATTATCTTACTCGGTTTATAACATCACAGAAACTCTCACAAAGAGTTGCTCTGATGTTATAATGTATCACTAATCTCTTTACCCGGTAACTAGCATATCCCGGAGATTTAACCGAAGGTCCTTCTTGATGCAAATTCTATCTTTTTGCTAAATGTGCACGTGTATATGAAACTTGAAAACAATCTCAGTGAATAATGAGGACGCTCACTTGTAAACATAAAATCTGGGGGGGAAATTGGCTACATTTGAGGCCCTATTTAAAAGCCTTCCCTGTTTTCAATGTTCTTAAAACTCGCAGGGAATATTTCTTGACGATTGATCTCGGGATTGTCGAATTTATAAAAAAAATTATCGAGCGGTTTTTGGAAAAATGCGAAATTTTTAGGCATGGACCAAATTACCTCCAAAAACTGTATCAAAAGCAGCTGAATGCAAGTTAATAAAATTCTTCTTACTCGCGATCGCCCAGAGCAATTCCCCTCTTTTTTGGTATGCAGTTTTAAAAGGAATCAATCCACTATGAGATGAAGCCGCGTTCCCAAAGCTTATCATTTTTCTTAAAATATTTGCGAATTGTGCGCTAGCATGCTATTTCACTGTTTTTATGATTCTTAAAACTGCAGTTCGAAATATCTCGAAAACGCTCTCATAGAATTTCTTCAAACTTTGCCATAATGGAGGCAATTATGGCAGGTACATACTCCCTAAAGCGATTTCTTCAAAAAACTCCTGGTACAGAGAAACACAACGATAAATGAAAAACGTAATGGCGTCAATACATTGCCATGGCGACTCCGATTGCAATAAAACCCAGATCATAAGAAATTTTCATCTTTATATAATACAGTTGTGGTAACTTTTTTTCGATATCTTTACTCATACCGACGTAATTAATGCTCAAACTTGGGAAGTATATCCCCCTAAAAAAATCCAGTCGAGCCACCTTAACGAAGGGTATTTTGCGTTACGAGTTTTGGGGGCTTATATTTGGATGGGCTTCGGAATTTTGCGGGCTCGAGTGGAAAATAAAGATATATATGATTAATAAACAAAAAATTACGCTATCAACATTCGATCACATCAATATTTTATTGCATTTAAATTAACTTTATGCAAATATTTAGTGAAGAGGTCTTTCAAAAAGACAACTTCTTGGCTTTTTACCGCCAATCACAAAGACCTAGGGAAATTCGAAAATAAACAAGAGATAGGCTTAAGATCCAAGAGTTCGACTCTTAAAAACTACAAAATTATTTATCAAAGTTATTTTAACAGATCTTTCCAAAATACTAACTTTATTCAACTAGTGTATTACAGTTCTTTTTATACGTTTATCTTTTTGTCCGAAGATTATCCCAAAAATTGCGAAAATGTGATTAAACTTGATTAATTCGTACTACATGTTATGTATAGCCATTTACTTACTATAATTCGCCAATTATTAACGCTAGGCAGTATGAAAAGTTAAAACTAATTTCTTTATAATTGATAAACTTATACTTCTTAGTTTGTTATTGACATACATATAACTGTCAATGGTTACTTATTCGTTGATTACAAATCTACCTCCAACATGGAGGTCTAGAAATTTATAAATTATAATTTATTTTTAATTTTACTGTAGCTAACAATTGCTAACAAAAGAACAAGACACAAAGTAAAAATCAATTCAAATTACCATTCTGATTGGACAGTCGAGCTCTTTAGCTTGTATGCTTTGTTTTCCTATATAATGTAGGTCGTGTGTTAATACTCCATAGAACTGTCTCTTTAAATTTCGTCTTTAATATAATAGGTGACGAATTACTCCTTAATTTTGGCGCGAAATTTAAGCGATAATTTGTAATTTGACATGTGAAATTACAAAATTGCCATGGCAACCTTCCGTACGTCTCAGTGTCAAGATGGCGATGAAGTTTTAAAATGTCATGAATGAAGATGCCAGCGCATATAAAGACGCTTTAGAAAACCTGAACACACCAAAGAGCACATCAAGAAGGATTCTAACACGTATTTTGTCGAAAAATTCCAAACTTGAGACAAATTTAAGCTCTAAACGTTCGAGAGAGTGGAGTTCTCGATCGATGCGATCCAGGATAAACATGTCAAAAATCCAAGATTGCTGACGTAATTCGTCACCAATGATATTAATAGTAAAGGCTCGGGAAATTATTAGGATTTGGACAAAACGCAAGTGAAATTATTCCCTAATTTCACTTTTCACCATTTGATTACACATACATATACTCGCATATATACGCATATTTTATGAAAAAAGGAGCAAATTCCCCTGGGACCGTCTTTGAGAAAACAAACATACAAGCTAAATGGGTCTCTTGAGCAGAAAGTTCCAGAAAACAGCCAGTATATCAGCAAAGGGGTAAATAACGATTCAAAGTTCCGTTGTCATTAGCTTGGAATTGGTTTCGTTCCCGTCTTGAGACTTTTGTGCTCTTGAAGTGAACCAAATGCAGGTATTGTAACCTCGCTTTCTTCCTTTGATCAATATAACGACTATTGCAGTAAGTAGAATAAGAGTAGTAACTCCCAGCAATCCAATGAGGGCTTTGAAATGAACAAAAGACATCTGGGACTCAGCTGAATGAAAAGATACCAAAATTCAATCATTACTCGGAAGACATAAGGAAAAATATCAACTACATTTAGAAGGCATAAACCCTCCTTGCTTCTAGTTATAGTCAGGAGTTACTTGAGTCAATACTTAGACCCTATACCGAACACCCACCCATCGCCCCCCTCCCTCACAACCCTCCCACGCCCATAACTATGTAAAGAAAAAATGTCATGAAAAGACAGCCCACTACGATTTGGAAGATAGACATCATTACCATCTATCATTAGATATCTTAGTTACTTGGATGTTTAGAGCGCTGTGATTGGTCGTCGCACATGAGCTAACGAAACACAAGGCTGACGTCAGAGAAAGGTTAAACGTCTTTAAAGACGAGCAGATATTACAGAGTGGACACTCAAACCGGGACACTTGAACGAAGATTGTCCAATCATAAAGTTTTCTGAGAACAAAAGATTCTCAATTTTTTTGGCAAACGAACCAATGACATTCATCAAATCAACAAGGTGTTTCCTGAGAGGTCAGATAAGTTCAAACGGTTTTTAAGTTTTCAACTGTTGCATGGTATCAACCTATGTAAAAGTCTGGGGCAAGGGGGGGGGGGGAGGGGTCAGGTGCATAATGAGAGACGGGGAAATGAAGAATGTTGTTAAACATGTAGCTTAACCTACTTACCAGGTTTTTTCTGTTGTAATTTAACGGGTCCTAGCGATAAAAATAATTCTTTGTCCATAATATATGGTTTGTTTTCTCTTCTGCGTCTCCCGTTTTCCACACAGCCCGTTTCACACACTGAATCTGTGTCCGTCCTCCTGCATGTCTCAACATTGCAGTGAACATAAACTCGAGATGTTGGAAAGCTACTGAATTTGAAAGCCTTCATGCTAAACTTTTGTATCGCTGACTTTTCGTAGTTGTACTTAATGGTAGAATCACGTGGGCAACTAAAAATAGATTAATTAAAAACATATGTTAATAACCCTTCTGCCACCAAGATTGTGTAGTAAGAGGAGCTCATAACCCAAGCGTGCAACTCCCTGACTTAGCCTATGCAATGGCATTTTCACGGATCAAGCTATTTTAAGCATCGTTGGGAGCACTTTTCCTCACAGAATGGAAGCGCCGTTACGTGTTCGGGAGCATCAATAGTATGATGATTTTAAGGCTATCAAAACATCAGAAATATTGCTTTCTAGTCTCCGATTTTTGATTACTGTGATTTTTAAGACTTATTCGATTTTCAAAATTTGCGGGAGAATCGATCTAATAGTAAACTAGTCTGTAAAAATCTGCATCTTCCAGCCCCCAGCTGTGTACCAAGATTTGAATATGTGCCACGGTTGCCAGTAAAAAGAGGCATTATTCGATTGGCCAATCAGGATGACAGGAATTCCAAGGATCTCAGCACTGCTTCGGCTGACATTAAATAAAGGCGTTTGATTACGTCTGCCGCGCAGATTACAGCAGTTATTGACGTCAGATGGCTTTTCAGGTCACTGGACGAAAAAAAGATTCGCACAAGTTTGCTACTCACAAATATGTCGCAAATTTGTAAAAACGGAGGAGTAAATCTGGGGCAAAGATAGTAAATACCGCATTTGCTTAGTTACTAGTAAGTGATACACACCCTGCTTTAATTTTTTGGTACGCAAATGGGGTATTTGCCATCTTCGCACCATATTTACTCCTTATTTTACAAATCTGCGACATATTTGCAAGGAGCAAATTTCAGCTAATCCATTGTTTCGTCCGGTGGGGTTTTGTATTTCCTCAATTGGTGAGCGCACCATTCACATCATTAACCTTTTAAGTCCTAATAGTATCCAAAATCAATTTTCTCCTAGCAATATCCATACACTGTTAAGAGATACGTTGTGATAATAAATAAAATGATCACCCAAGAGAAAATTCCTCGATCTATTATCAAATTCTCTCAACTAATTCTTTAAGGAAATATATAGAGATCAGTTTGGAGAATTTGTATGTTGATACTGAGGCATAAAGGGTTAAATTGCTACCTTTACTCAGAAGCGGATCTGTTGTTTTTCTCATACTAACCCTTTTTCAATTATTGTATATCTCGTCTGATCACGTGGATTAGTTGAAGGTGTCGCCCAGCATTCATCGAGAAAGGCCACCAGCTCTCGGTCGTTTGATTTAACATCAACCTTGAAAAATATTGTTTGGCCCGGATGTACATTGAAAGGGTATTGGCTCACCACTACATCGTACTTAGAATCTTCATACAAGTCCATTCCAAAGGAAAAATTACCTACGCCATCGCCTGAAATATAAAAGCATATTCTGTTGAAATAATCAGAATGTCAATAAAAATACCAGGGAGCTAAGGGCTGCAAGTAAAAGAGTTTAGATTTTCATGCCCTTAGGTGTCTGGTTATTATTAAAAGTTTATCTTTAATAGTTATCGGCCAATTTGAGCCGAATTTTTTCAACCCACTTAATTCTAAGTGAAATTCAACTTTAAAAACTTTAATCATATTACAACTTACCATCCGTTTGCGCATCTTTTCGCCTCGGTGAATATGAAACAATTGAGAGGACATGAATCCGTCTATATAGACACTGGAACTCGAACTTGAGTCGGCCATCCCTGGTAATTTTAGGGGTGTCACCAAACCGTGTATCTCCCGTTAAGCTGTTCGAGTATATAAAGTAGAACTTCGACATCCTTTGCTCAGTATCACAACTTTCAAGCGGTGACGTTAAGAGAGCATGCGTATCATTAGAGGAGGTGACCTTACACAAAGGGTCTTGGAGATGGACTGTGGAGATGTCCAATTTGGGCTGTTGGATTCTTGATATTATTATTTCAATTGCATAGTGAGTGCATTTGACCGATATTCCTGTTGGTACAAAAAGAGTTTTTAGTAACGGATGTCCTGGTTTACTTCCTCAGTCTTTATCCCGAGCATTCTTGTCAAGGCACGAGTTTTTAATATAGGGGAACCTAGTAGATTTTTAAGACATCACGCTTGCAACTCGTAAGAATAAGTTCGTTTCAGTCGTGAAACTGAGGATAAATAACATTTGACGTGTTTGATGGAATAAAAGTGTCATATAAAATCACGTGATTTCCTGCCCCTGATGACGTTACAAAACGTGTTCCTTCAAATGGGGTACATTGCAAATTCAAAATTGGAAACTTTGCGATGTTAAAGTAGCCTTAAGACCGTTCTCAACAGGGCTCCGCCTTTTAACGCGGAATTCGTTCTATGCGTTATCAGTTATCAGTACATTTGTTAAGTCAGGTGACCTGTATTACTCAACTGACGGTTTTAGATAACACATGGACATGACTAAAAGGCGGCAGACAAAAACCCCTACCAGGAGCCATAGAAAAACGAAGAAATAAGGCGTATACAGTTTGGTTAAGTATTATCCATTTTCAGTGAAACATTTTGACAGTTACAAGGCAAGGGTGAGTCACGTGACTGCGTCTTAAAATAGTTAAGCTCATCAAATGAATGCAAACTTGGAAGGGAACCTGCTGGCCTGGTTTCACAAACATGAGAAGAATGTTTCTCCTTGAAATCGAAACCCACTGAATTCGTGGTTGAGTCAAGCCTTACCAAGCGGTGATTACATCCAATCTATCAGTGATCAGTTGATTCTCTTCTTGTGTCCAGATATTAAGTCAAGTTATGAGTCAGAGTAACTACTTTACTACAGGGATTGAATGCGGTGCGTTACGACACAAAGAACGGCTGTGGAGTAGACTATTCCGTTTGGGAAACTTCAGAAAATGTGGGCTGTAACTTGAAGAGTTGCAATTTTTCTGCTCTTCTCAGTATGTTCAGCTAATTTGAATACACTTTGTAGCGGGTCGTTCTCCTACCACGTCAGTATAACAATTTTATGATTATGCACAAGATTTCCAACCGGGTGGTTTGTGTAAATGGTAAGGACCAAACATATCGTAGCATCTAAGACTAAAATTGCCAAGATTGATTGTTTCGTCTCTCTTACGCTTATTCTTATTGCTCCTTTCAAAATGTAAGTGCAACTCTGTGCGCAGTAATTGCAGGACAACCCTACCACCACCCCAACGTCGAGACTTTATGACTTTATTTGGGCTAATATAATGGGAAGCCCTTACTCGTAGCAAGTGATACGTACAGAGATGACGCGACTCAGTTGGGTCTAAATTTTATCCAGCAAAATTATGTCCAGCTGGTAAATAACAGATTATAATCTTAGTTTTAAATGGCAGCAATTCACGGCTTGTAAGCGTTTTCAGCTGTTGGATGAATTGATTCTGAAAAAAAAAATCACCCCATGTAAGGGATTCCAAGACATTCTGACTTGGACTCTGGATTGCACGACGTGGATTCCGGCATCCAGTATTCTTTGTCAGTGGAGCATGGATTCCGGATTTCAATAGTTAATGGAATCCGCACCGGATTCCTTGAGCTGTGTCCCGGATTCCGAAGCCCAGGATTCCGAATTCCACAAGAAAAATTGCAGGATTCCGGAATTCACGAGCAAAAATGTCCCGGATTCCAGAATCCGGATTCTATTACATTGGGCGAAAAAACATTTGTGCCTGTAATCAGCAAAACATCAGGGTTTTCCTTACCTTCAGGTGCACCTTCGATGAAAAGGACATCTGTTGTGTTAGATTGTGGTTTTTGTGTTACAATAACCGACGTTGCGTGCGGAGTGTCCTCTGACTCCTCACTTGTTTCGCTTGGTTGAATGATAATACTTTGACTCGTAGAGGTCACGTAGTCACTGTGATGAGAAACCACGCTTAGAGGTCCAGCCAGTGACGTCGTCTTTAGAACAGGTTCTGTACCTCGAACAGCTAAGATACTACTCTGATGGACAGTTGTAGATGGCAGCCATTCGACCATGGTTTCTCCAGGCGTCACGGTATACTTACGGTCCGTCGTCCTAGAGGCCTTCGTTTCACCAGAAACACTCAGTTTAATATTTTCAGTCGTGTAGCTGGCCATTGTTGATACTTTCATTTCAATTGATTCGGCAGAGAATAACGAGCTTCTTGAAATCTTTAATAGACCAACTGCACGGGCGTCAGTGTCACTTTCTTTCACCTCAACAACAGATGCTCCCGAAATGCCAGTTACCGTTTGCGTCAATTTAACAGAGTTTGTGGCGTGATCAAGAATCTTCGTGTGATTGGATCGGAAATTAGCTTTCGTTGTTCCGAAGGTATCTTCACTCATACCTAACATGCTAGATGTTATGGTACTCTCTTGATCTCGATCTCTCATTGTTAAGGTTGAAGTGGCTACAGGTGAGGGACTGATCACTACAGTTGGTTTTTGTGGAACTGCAACCTCTCTGGAAGATGACCTTCCGGTTGGAGAAGTCCGAGAAGTCATAAAAAGCCTCCTCGTGCTTTCAACATTTTTGGAAGATTTTGCGTCAGAGATCAAGCCACGATGTGTTGGGGGCGATGTTATTAACGTTCTTGTTTTAAGCGCAGAAATTTTTGCTTCGTTTGCAGATTCAGTAGAGCCTGATACTAACGACAGCGCTTCCGTGTTTTTATCCACCAGTTTACTTGCTTTTTCAGCTTGACTGCTAGCCTTGGCTGAAGACTGCCGCATATAACTTCCAGTCAGAGAACTTTCTGAATAAGATATTGCTGAGGCGATTTCCTGTACGGCAAGAGTGCTTTTCTTCGGCAAAGATGTCTCCGAACTTGGGTGCAAGGAAGGTACTGCTGAAGATGTCATCACCTGTCCACTGGTTGTAGATGGAGGGGCTAAAAGGTAAAATTCAAGACAATTCCCGTACTTAATATTCTTTGGAATAACGATCATGTGAAATACAAAAAAATTGGACCAAGTTAAAATACTATGAAGAAACGCTACTTTTCAACAGAGCAACAGAGAAGGGTTTTGTATTTCGAAACAAAACGTCTATCCCTGATTCTGAAAATGAAAGGCAAGTGGTTGCTCAAACAACTGAAAGTTGCCATTTTTCTTTTAAAATTTTGAAAAAATAATTCAAATTAAAATGATAGGGAATGATCATGAGGTGTTTTTTTTCCTTGAACAGAAAACGGGGTGGAAATTACCCTGGGCTTTTCGAGTTTAGTAAAATTCCAAGGACCATTTCTAAACTTTCAGAAAGTCCGGTTAATTTCTGGAAATGTTCGGCACTTGCTAGGAATTTTCCTGAGCACGACTTCCAGAATTACACAGGCCTAAAGAAGTTCCAAAACTTTTCTCAAAACACAAGTAGATTCGGGGGAGGGCCTAGTTATCAGCCTTTTCTTCCCATGTTGTAAATCTCTTTTATTTCCTTGTAAAGTGTCCTACGATGTATCAGTTCATGTATGTAGCGTCCCAACAATGCCTGCCTCTAATAGGTTTTTCTAAATGTAGCAAGTGTTTGTGTTATGCATTTCTTGGCTGTTAATAAGGTTGTTGATGTTTTCAAGCTGTATTTTAAAGTCAAATAACAGTTTAAGGTTAATTAAAACCAAGATTTATGGCCTCAATTTTTATTCAGGAAAGTGTTTAAACCGGCATCATATGTCCGGCCACGCCCTATTTTATCCAAACAATTTTAGACTCCCACCAGTTCAAGAGAGCGAAAGTCTTTTCCTCTGTGAATTTCAAAAATGGCTACTAATAGTTTTCTTTAAAGAAGTTGCCTTTTCCCAATCCAAAATCTTTATTAGAGGTGAACTGGCACCAGTAAACTAACACCATTTTACATCATCCTGTTTGCATTTAACATTATGACAGTTCGACCCATTTCTAGCTGATTTTGTAGACACCAATTGTATGGTCAATGTTTTCGTGCAGGGAAAATGAAGTTACCCATGTAGCAAGTGGTCGGAATCGTTGTTCACAATATTCAAACGATAGAGGGCGTAGTCGATCATGCGACCAGATAATTTGATTCTCTTGTTACTAGTTTTTCTACTCTGATTTATTTTACCATTGGTCTTTTTCTTGGACGCATATGCCTTTAACTTTGATTTTTGGGACATGTGCTTATCTAACAATCACAAGGAATCGAATTTCGAACCAACACTTTGGAATTCTCTTTTTGAGAATATGTGAATGTGAGATATAACCATTTTCAAAGAAACAATTTGGAATGAATACACTTTGCAAGACATTAATTTGATCGAGGTAACATTTATGGTACCATCCCCATTATTTTGAAGTTTTTATTGCACCAAACTAAATTAAACACAAGACTTGGGCTAGAGCTCTAGTGTCAATATATAATTAATCATAAAAAATAAAGATAAGGTTTATCGTTATTAATACAAAGCGGATAAATCAGTACCTGGAAAACTGCAGACTTGCCCTTGTGCGTTAAAACCTACTGGAGCCATAGTCTTCAATGAGCAATTGGTCTTATCTGCCGGACATTCCTCAGGAGCTGCAACGATATTCAGTGAAATTCAGTGAAAACTTTCCTTTCTTAATTTCTTACATTTTTCCTATGCTTCTGAAGGGCTTTTCCACAATTTTAGATTACTTTCTCAAAAAATTCACACAAATTTAACTACTAACTACTAACTATACTTCTACAAAAACAAAACAACGAATTTCAGCACTTTCGTCTTTCTCTTACACTATTTTTGGCAGTAGATCAGCTTTTTCATCCTCACATGACCTGAGAAATCTTACATCGTTTTTTCTACCTCTGCCTGCAAAAACAGCTGACCTACCGCGCCCTCTTCTGTCCTCAGTCCCTTTTTCTATCGATATCTGTACAATTGACGCCAATTGTTCTATAATATTGGCAAACGTCTTCTAAATTTGGTCAACGTGAGCTGACTAACTAACTACTGTATGGGTTGCGCTGATTCCAAAAAACAAAACTTGAGAATCTTTTCCCTTCCAAAAACGTTGTGATTGGATAATCTTCTTTTAAATGCCCACGTTCTAGTAGTCGCACTGTACGTAATAACTTACCGCTAGTGTATACTCACCGAGAACTTGGTAGCTCACATAGAAGCCAGGCCAGTTGGCTTTTTTATACGAGGTAAAAGAAAACCACATCTTTTCCTTTGGAGAAATGTAGGTATAGGTCTGCTTGCATCCGCACAGCCGTGCCACAATATTGTCGTCAGAAGTGTTACCAAGGTACTCAGTTATTACCAGATAATCATCTCCACAGCGCCCTGGACGAGAGTATCGATGATCCTCGACGCCAAACCAACGGACTTCAGCCTGTATACGGTACCCCTGTGGGGCAGATATTTCCCACAAACAGTACTCGCCCGCGTCATAGTTGTTGGGAAAATTAGGACTGGACAGGACTCCAGATACTTCCTTTAGCTTAGTGTTTTCGCTACAGTAATCTGAAAATTAAGAAAAAGCCTCAACTTACTTCGATTAATAAACGTCCAAAATAACTCATCTGGTAGTTCTGGTGTACCTGTCACACACTTAATGTGTAATGTTTCGAATTTGACAATACTGATTTTGGGGCTCCATCATTTTATGTCGTAGGCGCTACTGAAGTCGTTTTTCAGTGTCGATAGCATTGTCAAATTCAGTTTTCTACCTTTATTTAATCATCTTCGGATTTAGAATGTAGAAAGAGGCGCGGCAAAAAGATCGTGACAACTTGCTGGTAAAAATGATACATGATAGTAACACTTTACAAGTTGGGAATCAAATATATGAGTGATCGATAGCGATTATTAAGCAATTCAAAATAGAACGGATGATTTATCAGTAAAAAGAGTTATCTACTTACTTGGTGGATTTTCCGCCTGGCTTGAGCAGTCAATATCATCTGTAGAAAATTTAAAAGGTAGTTTAACTTTGGCAACTTCTGGCTTAGAATTCGGCTGATACTGTGAGGTGTAAGATTGGATGGCATTATGATAAAATGAAATTCATCGCAGCAGTAACAAGAATGGTACTGATGAAGTTGACAGTATAAGTTATAGTGGAATGTCCAATGTAGGTTTCAAAACGTTCTTCTTGTATCTGTTAAGTTTTTCCCGTCTTTTGCCCGCGCGGGACTGGTAGAAGAACTACGTCATTTATATGTCGTTGTAATATTATGGTCTGGGGCATGTGCTCGCTCGAAAATCTTGAGGTAAAGTTCTAGTCGAGTTCTGTTCGTTCACACGGCCTAAAGTCTTTTCACGTTTCCTTCGAGCCTTCAAATCCTGTAAGTATGTTGTCGCTAAGTATTTTCATCTTTCTTCCTTTTATTCACACTCGTTTTGTTTTTCGTAGTCTAACCAGATCCTTGTAACGAATCTTTGGTCCGAATCTCCTTGGAATAAATTCATATGAACATTTAAGTCTACATTTGCGTTAGAAGGATACGCTGGTTTCGCTGTGGATCGTCTTGGATTTTCGTCGATTGTGCCATGGATTTATCCGTTCTTTGATTGATTGGTGTTATCGATAATTTGTTTCTTCGCTTGTGGATCGATTGTAGAGTAAGATGGACTTACGTGGGTTGAAAACCAAAACTGTCGACGTCGATGGAGCCGTTCACGAGAGAATTCTTCGCTTAAAGCGTAGTAGGTCCGGTTCAAAGGCGGCCGTCACCAGAAGACAGCGCGAATTACTTGAGCTAATGAAGAGCTCTGACAATGTTGATCAGGTTAGAGCGAAGTTTCTTGATTTAGAAGTAGCTATGAGACATTTTAACGAAGCACATGATAAGTATCACGCTGAGTTGACTGATGAAAGTGCAATTCGGGACTCGATCGAGTATTTTGAATCAGTGAAACGTATGGGAACTGCGGTGTTTCAGTCATTTGATGTCTGGTTGCAATCTGCTCAGTTTAAGCTCCAAGAAGAATTAGATCTTGCCATCAGTCTTCATCCGGAAGACTCTATCAGTAATATTAGTTCTACGAAATCGAAGTCTGCTGCAAGTTCTAGGAGGCGCAAGTCTAAATCTAGCGCTAGTTCCAGTCTCTCACAGTCAAGCACCGCTTCAAGTGCAGGGTTGAGAGCCTCTGCTAAGAAAGCTGCCTTGTCAGTGGAAGTAGCTGCATTGAAGACACGGCAGGACATTCAGTTAGAAGAACTCTTGTTGAAGCAGAAGAAAGAGAATTTTGAGTTGGAAACTAAGTTAGCAAAGGCCGACGCTGAAGAAAGGGTGTACAGTTATTGTGAGGAGCGACGTCTGTCAACACTGTCAAGTCAGTTACCGACTTTACATGCAACCAAGAAAGAGAGCACCGTGGATATGCCTGAAGGCCAAGAAAGTCACACACTGACACTAGCAGGTCAATTTGCAACTTCCACTCCAGGTCAAGTCGAAGAGAAGGAAACTGTGGAAGCTCCAGTTCATCAGACAGAGGAAAATCAAGAGGTTAAATGCAGTCCACTAAACCCAGACGCCCCTGTATGGAAAGGTTACGGATGCTCACCCTCTGCGATTAATGGTGAAAGTGCTGAAGGTGGATTATTGGAACAACACCTAGATCTAAGTGACAAGAATGTCAGTCACGTGATTGAAGTCCAGAAGATGCAACAACAACAAAATCAACAGCTTCAGGAATTGCTGAAACAGCACCAGCTTCAAACATTAGCCATGACATTGCCACAGCCTGAAATCTCTGTGTTTTCGGGTGATCCTGTTGAGTACTCTGACTTCGTGCGAGCCTTTGAAAATTTAATAGAGTCAAAGACAAGCAGCCCGAACTCACGTTTGTACTATCTCGTTCAATATACATCAGGAGAAGTGAAGGAGTTAATGCAAAGCTGTTTATCGATGGATCCCAAAGAAGGCTACAAGACTGCAAGAGCACTCCTTAAGGATAGATATGGTCAAAGCTACAAAATAGCAACTGCCCTCATTGATCGAGTAACGAAAACTCCTCAGATTAAGTCAGATGATGGTCCTGCTTTGCAAAGGTACTCGGTTGTACTTACAAGTTGTAAGAACTCTCTCAAGGAAATTGGATACCTAAACAAAATTGAAAACCCTGACACTCTCCAAAGGATCATTGGAAGGTTGCCACTTTGGCTAAGACAGAGATGGAGAGAAAAGGCTGATTACATCAATGAAGAGCTGAAAAGAGAGGTCACTATCGGAGATGTTGCAGAATTTGTTGAAGCAAAGGCTAGAATAGCCAACCATCCAGTGTTTGGGGACATCCACTCGAATGATGACAAGAACAACGCTGTAGGCATTGGTTCCAAAAGAAGGTACAGAACACCATCAAAGGAGCACAAAGGTTCTGCTTTCACGACACAAGGAACCACCCCGGAAGGTACTACTGACCCACCTAAGGACAACACTGAACGTGCGCCTGACAAGTCGAACGTCAAGTGCCCATTGTGTAAGGAGAGTCATTGGCTGTCACGCTGCCAGCTTTTCAGAGGAAAGTCGGTTGATGAGCGAATTAGTTTTGTGCGTAGTAGAGGACTGTGTGATAATTGTCTTGTTGCGGGACACATGGCGATGTCGTGCCCCAAGAAAAGCTTCTGCCAGATTGTCGGATGTAAGATAGGTCATCGGAAACATTCTACGTTCTTACACCCAAGGAATGACAAACCAGTCAAAGCACCAACTCCATCAGTATCTGAGACCCAGTCGAGCAACACGGAGAATGAGAATCAGAATGGCCAAGCCCGAAGCTGTTTCACTGAAATGGTAGCATGTGAAGGAGTGTGTAGTGCGACTGGGGCCGGAGCATCAGCTACAGGACTTGCCATAGTTCCAGTTAATGTCAGAGCCGAGGGAAGGGAGAAGATGGTTCAAACCTACGCGTTTCTGGATCCAGGGTCGAACACTACATTTTGCACTGACAAGTTGATAGAACGTCTAGGTGCAACAGGTAGAAAAGCGATGCTGTCTTTAACTACCATGGATAGTGATGATGTTAAGAGTGAAAGTCTAGTGGTCAATTTGGAAGTTTCTGATCTGCAAGGACGTAATGTCGTTGAACTGTCAAATGTTTTCTCACGAGTCAAGCTTCCAGTCACCGTTGATGATATGCCGGTTCAAAGTGATGTGGAAAGGTGGTTCTACCTGAAAGATATCGACCTACCTTGCATTGATGCCGACATCGAATTGCTCATAGGTAATGATGTACCCAAACTTCTTGAACCTCATGAAGTGCAGAGAAGTGAAGATGGTGGTCCTTATGCCGTGCGAACACTGCTAGGATGGACCATCAATGGCCCACTCGGTAGGGCAAGTAAGGCAGCCCGTACTTCAAACCGTATCCAGTCTCATGTTGTCTTGGACCAGCAGTTTGTACGTTTCTGTGAAATGGAATTTAATGATTCGCAGTTCAGCATTGAGAAAGGATTGTCTCAAGATGACAAGAGAGCCCTTGCCATAATGGAGGATTCTGCTGAGCTCCGCGGTGGTCATTACGAAGTTGCGCTTCCTTGGAAGGTCTTCCCTCCAGATCTGCCCAACAACAAGATCGTCGCTGAACATCGTCTTGGGTTGCTGAAGAAGAGGCTGCTGAAGGATCCCCAACTACACCGGAAGTATTCTTTATTTATGGATGACTTGTTTGACAAAGGACATGCACAGAAAGTTCCTGAAGGTCAGCGAGAGGATTCACCCTCATGGTATCTACCTCATCACCCCGTCATTCACCCACAAAAGCCCGATAAGGTCCGGGTGGTCTTTGACTGTGCCGCAAAATTCCAGAATGTCTCGCTCAATCAACAGATTTTGCAAGGACCTGATTTAACCAACTCGCTCATTGGAGTCCTAACAAGATTTAGAGAACAGCCCATAGCCATCATGGCTGACATTGAGAAGATGTTTTATCAAGTGCGCGTACCAATAGAGGATAGCAGGTACCTCCGTTTCCTGTGGTGGCCGAGTGGTGAAATGGACAAAGAACCAGAAGAATTTCAAATGCTAGTTCACCTTTTCGGGGGAGTTTCATCTCCCAGTTGTGCGAATTATGCACTGCAGAAAACGGCTGAAGACAATGCGGAACATTTTGATAAAGACACCATTCAGACGGTGAGAAGAAATTTCTATGTTGATGACTGCTTGAAGTCTGTGGAAGATAACCAACAAGCAAGTCGACTGGTCGATCAGCTACGTCAGTTGCTAGCCAAAGGAGGTTTCCGCTTAACGAAATGGGTTTCAAATGCCTACGATGTCATCCAGTCAGTCCCAGTATCCGAGAGAGCCAGTTCCGTCAAGGAGCTCGATCTCGAGAACTTGCCTGTTGAGCGTGCCCTCGGCATTCTGTGGGATGTCCAGTCAGATACCTTCCGTTTTAAGATTGCAGTGAAGGACCGACCCCCAACGAGGAGGGGTATTCTTTCCGTCATAAGCTCAATTTATGACCCTCTAGGGTTTGTTGCACCATTAATTCTGCCTGCGAAAGCAATTCTGCGTGATCTGTGCCGGAAGGGATTGGATTGGGATGATAGAATTCCCCTTGAAGATTTAAAGCGTTGGCAAGATTGGTTGCAGGAACTTCCAAAACTCGAACAGTTCGCCGTTGAACGTTGTTTAAGGCCCAAGAACTTTGGCCGCATAGTGTCTAGCCAACTTCACAATTTCTCAGACGCATCAGGTGAAGGTTATGGTGCTGTTACTTATCTTCGAGTCGTCAATGAAGCTGGAAATGTCCATTGTGCCTTTTTGATGGGGAAGTCGAGACAAACACCCCAGAAGTCAGTTACTATTCCTCGTCTGGAGCTTTCAGCTGCTGTGGTTGCTACCAGATTGAACAAGATGATGCAACATGAGTTGGATGTAGCACTAGAAGAAGAGTTCTTTTGGACGGACAGCACGTGCGTGTTGAGCTATATTACGAACAAAGAGAAGAGATTTCAGACGTTCGTCGCGAACAGAATTACAACAATCCATGAAGGATCGCGACCAGATCAGTGGAACTATGTTGACACAGATTCCAACCCAGCTGACGATGCGTCCAGAGGGCTTTCAGCTGAAGACATCATCCACCAAAGCCGCTGGATTAATGGCCCTCCCTTTTTGTGGGAAGCAGAGGACCGCTGGCCTAAGCGACCTGAAATTTCTGTGGAAATAAAGGAAGATGATCCTGAGGTGAAACGGGAAAGGAAAACTTTCTCAATAGCGTCTACAGTTGAAGCTGACTTCTTAAACCGAGCAGTGCAGTCCTGTTCCTCGTGGTATAAGCTTAAGAAATTGATGGCATGGATCTTGCGTTACCGTTCTAATCTTCTGCGCGAGTGTCGCAGGCGGAAGGAAGGCACAGCTAAAGTACTCGTCTCCGAAATACCCAGTCCCATCAGTGTAGAAGAAATGCACTCTGCTGAGATAGAAGTCTTGAAGTATGTACAAAGGCAATGCTTTAGAGAAGAGTTGGTGTGTCTGCAAGGTAAAGAATCAAAAGTTGAGCTCAAGAAATCAGTCCGAGCCAGAAGAACAGGTTCCGTCAAGAAATCAAGTTCAATCGCCAAGTTGGATCCTGAGCTGCGCGATGGCCTGCTGTGTGTGGGAGGAAGATTGAGGCATGCACCAATTGAACAGGAGCAAAGACACCCTGTAATACTGCCTAAGAAACATCATGTTGTAGATTTGATCGTCAGGCATTATCACTTGCTTTCTGGACATTCTGGTCAAGAATATGTGCTCTCTTTGATCAGAAAGAGTTACTGGATTATCAAAGGAAGAGTCGCGGTGAGAAGAGTTGTAAACCGTTGTTTTAGCTGTAGGCGAAGACAGGCTCCGTTTAAAACTCAGAAGATGGCCGATCTTCCTGCTGACAGAGTCACACCTAACAAACCCCCGTTCAGTTTTGTGGGCGTTGATTGTTTCGGTCCGTTTTGGGTCAAGAGGGCTAGAAGTCAAGTTAAGCGTTATGGAGTCTTGTACACGTGTTTGGCGACCAGAGCCATACACTTGGAAGTCGCCCAGAGTATGGACACTGATTCGTTCTTGAACTCCATGCGCCGCTTTATCGCAAGGCGAGGTGTTCCTGAAGTAATGAGGTCGGACAACGGTTCAAATTTTGTTGGCGGGTGCAAGGAACTCCGAGAAGCTATCTCTGGTTGGAACAAGAGTCAGATCCATGAGTTCCTCTTGCAAAGAAATGTCAAGTGGCTGTTTAACCCACCATCGGGGTCCCATTTCGGTGGCGTGTGGGAACGTTGTATTAGAACTGTCAGAAAGATTCTCGTTGCACTTATGAAGGAACAGCCGCTGGATGATGAAGGGTTGACTACCCTCATGTGTGAAGTGGAGTCAATTGTTAATGGGCGTCCCATAACGAAGTCATCTGATGACCCGTCAGATTCTGAAGCTCTCACGCCGAGTCATTTGCTGTTGCTACGGTCGGGCCCAAGACTTCCCCCAGGTGTGTTCAGGAAAGAGGATGGCTATTCCCGAAGAAGATGGCGCCAAGTTCAATATTTAGCCGACGTGTTTTGGCGGAGATGGATTAGAGAGTACTTGCCACAGTTGCAAGAGAGGCAGAAATGGACTTATCCGTCAAGGAACTTCGCCGTTGATGACATAGTACTTGTGGTCGACGATAGAGTACCGAGATCATCTTGGCCTCTTGGTCGAATTACCAGTGTGCGCAAGAACAGCACTGATGAACATGTGAGGAGTGTAACGGTGAAGACCAGAACCTCGCAATATGATCGCCCTGTCGATAAGATCGTTCTCCTGGAGTCAGTGGAGATGTCAGAGGGAATGAAGCAGTGCTGAACTGAACTATGATCCGAACTTTGTATATGTTTGGAGAACTGTTAGATTTAACGTTTTGTTTCGGTCAAGTTTCCTTTAAAATCCTTTGCTATTGCCTACGATTTTAGGGGCCGGAATGTAGGTTTCAAAACGTTCTTCTTGTATCTGTTAAGTTTTTCCCGTCTTTTGCCCGCGCGGGACTGGTAGAAGAACTACGTCATTTATATGTCGTTGTAATATTATGGTCTGGGGCATGTGCTCGCTCGAAAATCTTGAGGTAAAGTTCTAGTCGAGTTCTGTTCGTTCACACGGCCTAAAGTCTTTTCACGTTTCCTTCGAGCCTTCAAATCCTGTAAGTATGTTGTCGCTAAGTATTTTCATCTTTCTTCCTTTTATTCACACTCGTTTTGTTTTTCGTAGTCTAACCAGATCCTTGTAACGAATCTTTGGTCCGAATCTCCTTGGAATAAATTCATATGAACATTTAAGTCTACATCCAAAACTTCATTGAAAAAGGAAAAATAAAAATAGCGAACTGAGGCAGCAGGCAGCTTTCGTTTCTGAACATACTATAAAATGTTTGTTAGCATTTTACGATGTCTTTTCTCCCCAAGGCATATTCTTTTCTTTCTCATCAGATAATCACACACAAAAGCAGACTGATGACAACGACCGTAACGATGTTGAAGACAATATTGCCAAAAATGATCATGTTGTAATGATGATGATGATGATGATGATGATGATGATGATGATGATGATGATGATGACGATAATAGTGGTGACGATAGGGTACGAGGCAACTTCAGTTCAAAATATGCAATGATTGTAAAATGCGTGAACAAACCATAAATCAACCATGCAAATTTGCGTTTTTCTTTCAAAACAAGTATTGTAGCTCAGTCTTACCTGGATCAATGGCCCTATACGAGATGCTAAGTTTATCACTTGAACTGAAAACAGCAGACACCGTTTGTAAAAAAGCTGATCTCCCACTCGAGAACAAAGTAACAGAACCGCTTGCACAAGGGCCATACTTGCCAATCAAGGGACTTGAGGAGCCATCACCATCTCGTATCACAAGGTAGTCGTCCCAGTTCTCGAACTGTAGGACTTCGATGGTGATTGCCAGACGAAAATTGACTGGCGCCTGAATCTTCCAAATGCACGAACCCCCAGAATAGTCATTTGGGAAAGCAGGCGTTGAAATTTCTCCAGGAAGCTGGGCGTCAATTTCAATGTTGGTATTTGATGGAGAGCAAGCTAAAATACAAAAACGAAATCAAGCTTAGGAATCCTCTAAACCATTATTTTTGCGGGCGACGAGAAGAGCCCGTAAGCCCTGATCTCCAGGTTTTTTTTAGGCATGCGCAGCATGTGTACGTGTGTAGTCAGCGTTTGTTTGGACTTCCACTAGGAATGATTGGAATGCATAGAGCGCAATCTGATCACGCGCGTTTAAACCTTTTATCACATGAAACGTTAGGCAAAAAATAGCGTTGGAGCAAGGGCGTTTTTGACTTTCAATAGATCTCGCCAGCAATCCCTAACTTTTGGTTATTACTAGTTGTAAGTCATTAAGCGCGAGTTTGATCGCCTCCTTGCATGCAATCTGCCTTGATCTTACTAGTAAATAAAAAACCTCGCTATTTTTCAGACCAAGCATAAATGCAACATAGAACTTTGATACACAACTTATCTTAGTTATTTGTCATATCAAGATGGTAATGCATAAGCCTATTAATTGTGGCATCTTTTCGTGTCAAGTGAGGTCATTATGTTTATTCCCGCTATTTTTGGATTCGCCATTTTGGATTGATGTTAACGGTACCGACACCATTTTTTTGTACAACTGTCCACAATCATGAGTCTATAACCATTTGCTTAAATACACGATACAAACTCAAATATAGAGCCAAATCCCATAGCAGTAGCTGTTGACTCAGTTGTGTAAACACTAGGGAGCTTCTGGTTTCCCAATCGAATTTCGAATTGCAGGAAGCTATTCTGTTTGACGAATTCTGTCTTTGGATTTACTGGATACTAAAATCAGGATTTCCCATTTAAAAGCGTCCATAGTTTGCAATAGTTTAAAAAGTTAATAGAGTAATTATAAAAAGAAATGTATCCGTCCCCCGCTTGATAACCATGTTTCCCTGTACGTGTTGTGCCAACAAAACTTCCTTAGGGCGCCAATCGCCTATAATTTAGGAGCTTTAGATCTATCAAAACGATGATGCCAAGTCTGTGTACATATATACCGCGGAAACTGAGCAGATGAAGCACTAATTGAAACTGAAATGTATTTAATAAACAATCCCTGGTCGTGTACAGAAATGCAAATTAATTGTATGTATAGTTAAATAAAGAATTTCAATCACGCGAACTATAAACAAATTGCAAGTTGTTTCCAAACTGAGATCCTCTAAACTAGGGGGCCATTCTTTTGCAAATAAGGCGATTATGAACAGTCTGTACCTTTCTCATCTGTTGACTAACTGAGCTTTGTGCAGTACACCGGCGATCATTAAGAGGCAGCCATTATTTAATTTGAGATTTTAAGTAGAGGCAGTGAATGAAGAAGTTAAGACAATGAAGAAATCTGTTTCTTTTAGAATTAGAAATACAATATTTGATACTTGGGCACTCATTCGATTCAAATTTGCAAATGGTATCTGATATGAGATTATTCATAGTCAGTTTTATTCATGCAGGATCAACCGCGTGCAATGCCAAATAATGAACAGAATGAAGCTAGTCGACAGTCATGGTCAATATAGATCGAAATTAATTATTTTTGTGGGCGAAATGTTGCACATGAGAGGATAAAATAAAGTCTTGAAAGTGTTATGAAGAGTAAAATCCACGTAAAACCAATAAAATAAGCGACAAAAAAAAGTATTGTAAAAGCTAGGAGATTGCCTTTTCTGATTTTTGGTTTTCTCGATCAATCGTTGCCTGCTTGCAACGCTAGTCAAACTGACTAGTGCCAAACTTTTTTGGGTCTAGTTTTATAACTTGTTTGATCATAATATTGCATAACATACCATTAATATTTGCCTCTATCGTTGCGGGGAAAGATGCGAAAATAACAGTCAAGGGAAGTAACTTCAAAAACTGCAGCAAATCCATTTCTGCTTGTCATATCCAGATGCAAAATACCGCATGGCATGGTCTGATGAAATTCCACAACTGTACTGATAAGAGCGGTGGCGTCCGCAACGAAGCCAGTGCGCCGTTCTTGTCAGAAGCAGTTCGCCGCGGTTTTGTTTGATCTCAGGGCTAAATGGAGGTAAATGACGAAAATTCTAGTTGTCATTAAACACGAGGCACACCTGTAAATTTAACCCAATTGTAAACAGACCGCAGGATGGCATCAACTCAAACAGTGTGACCACTGGCTATTTGAATAACAGTGCATATATTCTCTCCACTTGAAAAGTCATTGCGTGAAGCATACAAATAAACTGCTTAATTCTGCTTTGTATAGCGTAAAGCTGTGTTCTAGCTTGGTTTTTAATCAATGAATTATGTGTCGCAGTGAAAAGAGCCTATTTGGTTTCGCCTCTTACTATTGTTTTGTGCTAAAAGATCCTTTTACCACACATTAGCACCTAACAAGGAAAGGTTTTTTCACAAAGTTTTGATTTATAAGAATGTCAACATATTGTATATTTTTACGCACTGTTTCTTTGCTGTCCATCTGTGTTCACAGTGAAAATGTATACGTAAGACATGACAAGACATGATCCAATCTACGACTTTATTCTATGGAGAAAGAAAAAGAAAAACTACCTCAGGACTTCAGTTTAGCGTAGAACAAGCAGGCTCAAATTGCTTTGCATTTTACTGACACAGTGAAACAAAAGTTTTCTGAAGAACTTATAACACACTTAACTTTCTATTGAGGTTACCGCGCTTTCGATATCATCAGAAGAATCTAGCTTACATCGCAAACTGCCAGACATCATCAGTTTTATTTGTTGCTATGTGGAATAAATCTTGTCGTTCCACCAAGGTAAGATCCTACAACTCATTAATGCGACTTATTTTACGAAGAACTAGAGCTCATTCTCGAGAGTTCGTTCTCTCTTGATTTGAATTACTCCATGGATGATCCACGTGATCTTGTAGAAAGGGACGGTGAATTTTAATAGGGCGGCCTAACTCAAAACGAAGTTTATGTATATATATTTTTTGGCATGCCACATTTAGATTTTATCTTTCAAATTGTTTCAGACAACAACGGAATGGTTTAAAAATGTTCGCTACCTCAACTTAATGATAGTAAAGACTTCCCTAAGGGGAGTGGCAGCGTCATGCCTGTCCAGTTCATTGGCTTAATATTTACGCGTCTTTATTTGCTCGGGAACTTGAAATAACCAAAACATTTACTTGTAAAAGACAAAACCACAAATTGGTAACAAAAAGTATCTCCAGCCTAAAGGATTATATCAGATGTTACAAACAGCAAAAATGAAATTTGAAAAACTGTTAGCCTAACAAGTTTTCAAAAAGGGCAATTGCAGTCCCTTTAAATCTACATCAGGTTTGTCCACCCGACCCATCGCTGCGTTGTTTATACCTTCTTTAAATGTTTTGAGCCGTTGTTTCTATGCTTTACCCAGTTTGGTGGCAACTCTTACTGTATGAATTTTGATAAATTTCGTGACACACCTCCTTTAAAGAAAAGATGTTTTTGATGGACGTACGTCACCCGGAGGGCAGGGGCATTTTATTTTTTAATATGGTGTGAAACCAAACTATCAAATTTGTTTTGCTGAGTCTCTTTACTCAAAACGTTAGACCATAGTTAAGTGAGTGGAATGGTTATGAAACCCGTCAGACTCCTTTGTTATATGTTTTTGTGGACCTGAAAGTGCACAACTTTCAAGAGAATTCCTATCATTTTGATTGTATTGACCAATAAAAACGTTGCATTAATTTATTCCGAAACAATTTGCCAACAGAAAACAAAGGATTGTGCACTTTCAGGGTGCTTCCAACATAAACTGCAGCACTGTTGTTTTTGTCATTGATGTTTGCCGCTTTTCATAACCAGTCTCCTCTAATAACTATGGTTAGACTGAGCAACCGTCTAGGAATGCAAAAACATCACTTCCGGCTGCCGTCCGTTGATTAAAAACGTCCTTTTTGCTTAAGCGCCCTACTGCCATCTCTCTCTCTCTCTCTCTCTCTTTCTCTTCGCTGGTTAGCGGGAGTCGCGGACATTAAGGACTAGTAACTAGTATAACAGCGCAATAACGTTATTCAGACATTTCCGGTGAATTTTTTTTCTTTAAATACTAGCGTGCATAGTAGAGAAAACGACCATGAGAATGTGCAGTTAACTCGTTTTATATACACGCGTTTTTGTGAGTGAGGTTTTTGTTTATGTTGTTAGTAAAATGCAAGACTAATTTGTATTTAGAAATGATGTTGGCTCCTACTTGGAGGTGATTGGAGGAGAGTCACGTGGAATATAAACTGTAACATTCGTGTTTATAAACAAGTCTAGACTCCACGTGGCTAAACCGTAAACGACAATGCTGTTTGCCATTTATGTATTTCCATTTTCTGACCGGCTTTTTGTCCAAAGTCTACGCCGTTTACCTGGATTTTATTCACAGCCCAGCTAACCACAATTCCATTGACAGCACATTATGAAGCATAATAAATAGTACCGCAGAAAACAACAACTGTACAATATCAACGACAAATTAAAATCGAAACAAAAGCAAAACAAAACGAAAACTGAGTTTTCTCAGTTGGTGCAAATGATAATGGCATAAAACAAGTGAATGAGTCTACTTTCCTATAAAAGAATATAGCAAATTACCATTAACAGATTATCCGCGACCTCAATTAAACATATACCGTAGCTATTGATAGGTCAAACCAGAAGCTCATAACACGGACAGAGCAACTTCCATGTTCTCGTGTCAAGGCGAGTTTAACCAACTCGATTATTTCTAGAAAGATTATGGTAAGAATAAAGAGTATCGTCATTATTTTGTCCCACAAACCAGTCAAAAACCTTAGAAACGTATTTTTGCACTTTCGAATACATTTAGTTTTCCTTTTCCATACTTTATACTTTAAATGCGCTCATAAACGGAGTACAGCTTCCATTTTCGCGCGAAAAAGAGCTCTAACATATATCTAAAAATTAACTGGTTCGTGAAAACTCCAACCCAGAGGCCTTGTATGGGAGATGTTCACTCCTGGTTATCAGTTATACGTTAAACAAGAAATTAAACTGATATAAAAAATCAAACCTGTCCTACGACCTTATGTAAGATCGGCAAGTTTAACATGACCAGGCGCCGGAAGGTTTTAAAACGGTATGTTAATAGGTATCAAGGTCAGTATCGATGGGCTGTAGCGCGCTAATGGTTCCTACTTCCTGCCGCAGACCGGGGAGTCATCGTGAGGAGGAAAACCGTGAGAGTGCGTACAGACAATACAGGTTGGGATACTTTTGTCAGACTATTTATGGTGCAGTTTTCAAGTAATGAAGGACCGGATGTGAGTGTGCACCCGATTGGAGATGGACAACTGCACCGGAGATGTGTTTCAGTCAGCCAATAGGTGTTCTCCCAATAGATTGACTCTTGAATTATAACTTTTCCTATCACGCGCTCTCAAATAGACTTGTGACTCAGCCGGTTAGGATAAACCTAATTCCGTAATATGGGACTCTTATTGGAGTTGCTCACTTCGGGTTATGGGTTTCTATCCTTTAGCGATGTTTCCTAGAGGTAGCAGGGCAAAGAGTTTGAAATATCTCAAAATGAAATAGTTGAATTTAAAATATCTCACACTTTTTTAACTGAAACCCCCTAAACCTTTCAGCCTTCAGAAAGTATGTCGGGCATTTAAAAGCTCAGTGAGCATCCTTTATTTTTACCCATTATCGTAAAAAGAATTACACACTGTTCAAAGTTCTTAAAAAACAGATCATTTTGCTCAAGTGAATAAAGAACGACTGGAAACCGGTATGAAACTGGAAAGCTCCACAGCTTTTTTTTTCGTTTCACACAAATCCACAACCTTATAGCAACCTTCATGGCTATAAAACTTTGCCTTGTTATCTCGAGACAGGTGGAGCTCAAACATAAGGTGACAGGAATAAACTTTGTTCAACCTTAAAAGGTGCGGTGCACGAGAAAACTCAAAATGATGATGATGATGATGATGATGATGACAATGTGCACCCCTTTATCCTTTTAAGGGTACCGTGATATGATTTCTTAGAAGCCAGTAAGATGTTAACACCTCAAGGACATCAATGATCAGCAGGCCATTTTCTCAATGATATGCAATACCAACCCTTCCCACTTCTGTTTTTTGGTTTTAGCGGCCTGTAAAAATCGTTCTTTATAAATTGAGCAAAATTCTTTAAAAAAACATAAAAAAGTAAAATGATCAGCTTCCTAGTCAGTAATGGAAAGGAACGATCGAGCTCTTATGGCGAAAAAAGTACACTTCAATCGAATTTGAAAGTTACTCCTTGACTGTGTTGGCTAGTTGATTAATGAAACAGAGCAGTGTCACTAAAATCCTGATAAAAAACATTGACTCGTTCACATTTCTTCGGCGACGATCAGATGGGCGCCTTTGTTTACGGCAGCATAGCGACGACGACGGCCCAGGACGACTACAGCGATCACAAGCCCGAGAGCAACGGTGCCTAAAATTCCAACCAACACTGCGACGATCATCACCATGCTGTTACTAGCTGCAGCACCACTACTCTCCTCCTGTGCAACTACAGAAAAGGAAAGAAAAGAGAAAAATTATTATTTTTTTACTTTTACCTAACGCTGTCTAACCAAAAGAGCCTCCATTCAAAAAGCCCTTTTCTCAACTTAAGCTCAGTGAAGGAAACCCCAATGCAATTTTGAGGTACTCTTCCCATGTAAGATAATCCAGTCTTCGCATCTTGGATGGTACGTTAGGGAGGAGTTAAACTTGAGAACACACCTGGGAGACCAACCTCGTCTCCAGGGCTCTTACCTAAGAAAACTGGCGGGGCGTGATACCTTTTCCGGTCCCTCCCACCCCTTCCATTCTATAAAGGAAAAGCCCTGGGGACGTGGCTGAATGGAGTTTTAGGATGGTTGACACATGTCGGTAAAAGAGAACTTTAGATTCGAGGACGAGTGCGACTTCGAGAACGATATTTTTATTAAAATTTTAAGTTTTCTCGCCTATTCTCAAAAATAGACACTCCGGAAAGCTTCAATGTACTTTTTTTTCACCTTTATAGCCGCTTATTTTCATTGAAGGAGGTAAAGCCTCTCCCGATCGCTAAATGGCAAAATTTCTAACATACATTTGCATTGATAACTTGTTTTCCTCACCACGACATTCTTGCTAAAACTCGTAGTAGACTGACGACGGCTACCACATTTTCCCGCCAAAATGACGTTGGTTTCTGCGTATTGGGAAGATCTCGTTCTCGTAGTTGTTCTTAATTGTCTTAGAATCTAAAGATCTCTATTAATGGGACCATACAAATGAAACCGAAGTTCATTTGACGTCTTACGACAAAATATATTTAACGGTATTTCAGACCTAATCCTGAAATGCAACCATCCATTGAAAATAAAGCTACTGGGCAGCAGTACTTTCAATTGCTGAGGAGGTATTGCTGCTAGAGATGGACAAACAGGCAATTACACATACCATCCTTCTTGTCCGCCATGCTCTTGTAGCTCAGTGGTCCAATGCGTACTTTAGCGCTGAAATCTTCCTGGATTGATCGCCTTCGCCTTCTGCTTGCCTCACAGCCTCGGTCACAGCGCGATCCTGTATCAGATTCGCGACAGACCGTCAGCTTGCAATGGATATAGACGTCGTCGTAGTTTTCCTTGAATCGGAAAGCAGAGACGCTGAAGTTATGGAAGGCTCCCTTTGTGTAAGTGTACTTCAAAGTGTTGTCCCTGGAACAACTGGATAAGAGGAAAAAACATGATATAATAGCGTTTTATTATGTTTTCAAGTTGAAAAGGGAAATGGTATTCTATCAGAATAACTGCACTGAAACGAACCGGAGTCAGTTATAAAGAAATACGTTATGGTTATTGTAACGCCCGCGCGGCAAATTCGCAAGTGTGACCCGATTCGAGTGAAACTGCCGAGAAGTACTTTGCTGTGGTACTCGGCCAAATAACCATGCTTAATTGCATCTAGGTTTTGATTCTGTGGATGAGAGTCTCAAGTAGTTACCCATGACAAATAAAAGCTACTGAGTGATACTTCTTTCTAGACCTATTTATTATTCTGTGTAACTGATGTAGTTTTAGCTGTTGGCTCCGTTGATCATGAAGTCCGTCTTAATACTGTTAATAGCGACTATTCAAGCGAAATTTAAGATCGATGGCGTTGTCTCTTAAACCATCATGGAGCTGTGTCAATTTTCTACAACTCTCCTTTCGTTTAAAGGACCCAAAAAGTCGGACTTACGCGTTTTCGATGATAAGGTGATCTGGGGTGGAATCAAACTCGGACGATGCAGTTGCTTTGCACACATCAGGGAAAACGTTCAGTTGGCTATCGGCAGAGGTCACTTGGAAACCGAAATACATTGGTTGGCCCAGACCAACCGCTTTTGGAAATTCCTCGACTTTGTCCTCCATATCTTCGCTTTCGTACATGAACATTTCGTATGTGAAGTTGCCATAACCCTCTAGAAACGAAAACAGATTATGTTAGTAACAGGCTATTACTACCCTTTCAAATCAAGCCTACTCAAGAAAATCAACACCTAAAATCAAACCTACTCAAAACATTAATCCTATAATGCACATATGGTAAGTCTGTGCGTGAACTCTCAAGTGTCGACAAGTGTAAACAACACTTTCCAATTGTATTGTTATTATGTTTATAAAAGATGGTTCTTGCTGTAAGAACCGACTGTTCCACGTCACGTTTGTTCCTTCCGCTGTTATTTGACTTGCTTTAGGGTAAGTGTTTAAGAGAGTGGCCGAACTTGTAGTATTTTCTTCAGGTATTTGTTATTACTTTTTTCCTTAAGATCGTTTAACACAAGGGATAAATGAGGGCAAGAGAGCTGAATATTGGGAGAGAGAAGGAAATTTCCTATTCTGAGCCCTTAGGATGTGTGAAACTCACCAAAGATATTTTTAGACCAAATAAACGCTAGAAATTAATTTGAAATCGGTTTTCGAGGAGAGCTGCAAACTTAGCTAGTGTTGTCAAGAGAAAACTATGGGATATATGCTCTCTTGGTAGGTCACCATTACAATATTCTTTGCTTTAAGGCAGTCGCGTAACGACCTGGTGACGTTTCAATTCAAATGAGCAGACGTCCCAGTAATAATTAGACTTCACTTTTATTACAACTTCTAAAAAGGAACCTTAGTGAAATTCACATATCCCAGCCAATGCCCTACGAGTCACTACCTGCCCCATGAATATGATTCTCTCTTACCGTTGAGGCTCACTATCTCCTCATATATTATTCTCTCTTGTTCTTATACGTCTTCTCTGAAATTTTGTGCAGGCTACTGACATCAGTGATATGTATTCATAAACCCTTGGATGCAGAAAGCTTAAACTCCTCACATTACCTGCATCGGTGATTATCATGGTGGTCCTGGGACTATACGACACCTTGGAAATCGTATACGTCTTATCATAGCCGCACTGGAAAGGAATGATTTGCATATGCTTGCGAGTTATAGCATCGTCATCTGATTCTTCGTCAGCAGTCAAGTAAATTTTGTTGTTGTACAAGATTCTCTTTTCATCCGACGTTTGTTCAGTGCCGCAGGCTTCAAGTCCGAAAGTGAATTTGATCATGTCGTCGTCTTTGTATCCAGCAACGCAAGAGGCGTCCGCGAGATGGAGCAACGAGTCGTTTACGATGATGCCTGGATAATCTGCCGTCATCAACGTTACTTCGATGTAATCAGGATCGCAAACAACTGCAATTTCTATAAAAGAAGAGTGCAATGTTCAGTGAAAATAATTTGGCCCAAGTCTATATACGTTGCCATCTACTATGGACAAGAAAATATTCAAGTTTAATGCGAAAAGAGACAATTCAATATTTCTTTTATTCTAAGTACTGTAGCAGAAAATAATAATTTTTCAAAAGCTTCACTCACGAACTCTTTCTCGATGTTAATTCTCATGCAGGCTAAAAGAGATTTTTTCCTCCAGCCACTGGGGTTTTAGCATGAGGAACATGGCAGATACTATTTCAAAATAAAGTTTTCGGAAAGTTTACTGCTACACAACATCAAATCGAATGCTTGGTGTCGTACATGCCACTGACAGTGTTTCCAGCAAGCCGAATGTTGTCCACCATACTATCACTGTACTGATCAAGTTTTTTCTTTTCTTAGAATTAGTCTTCTTTAGTCACTTCGATCCTCAAAAAATTAATTTTTCCTTTTTTCCTATTTTGTTGTTCTTCTTTCTTTCTTTTCTAATTTTTTATACGTCAATAGACTACGACATCGTCTTGCAAACTTGATTGGAAGCTTCTCACTAATGCCATATTCATAGATTAATCACTTGATTTGTAATTGGTCAAAAAGTTGCTAGGAAATCAAGTGAGGTGTAGGCGGGAAACCAGATGATTAATTTGCTGCAGCCTCTGCGTGGCAACCTTGTTCCCAGGGTCCTCTCCTACTCGGCCCCCGTGGCAAGAGAGGGGCCCGAGAAGCAGAGGACCCTGGTACCGAAGTTTCCTCTGTGGATGTTTTCCCAGTAACTTGAGCTCTGTTATCAATTTCCATAACTTAACAGTACAATATATATATATATATATATATTTTCAAACTGAAGCCATGCATGACAGTTTGCCTGGGCGGCAGGGACTTTGAACTCGTTTTAAAAATGTGATCGGTTGATAACAACTAGAACATACTGTTGATTAAATAAGGGTGGAATCATTAATTAAAAACCAATGATTCGCGTTATGATTTTGTTTATAGAAAAACCACTGTCTGGCTTTCAATCAGGCAAGGCTTTGGAAACAGTCTTGTATTTGTTTCAATAACTACCAATCTTTTTCAACGAATTGTAAATGCCAAAATATTTTTCAATAACTTTCTCTCGCAATTTTTTTTTTTGGTCGAAAGTTACTTGTGAAATTTAGGTGATTTTTATAATGGATGGAGAGAAAGATTGTTCTAGTCTCAATTAAGGCGAAAGACATTATAGAGGGAGCTCAAAGAACCGCCTAAAATACTGGCCTAGGACTGAATATTTGTGGTCTTTGCTATTAACCGTTTTCAATTAATTTCGGCCTTAATTTTTAGATATTGTGTCCTGGTTTAAAACCTTATCTATCTTCCGTTCGTGGAATTGTTTTGTCCATCTGGAATATCATCTTTTAGAAAAACAAAATACAGTTAACAATGGTTTTTAAGTGTGGTCAGATAAAACCGATATGGTTTCGTTATTTTCCATTAATTTTGTTTATCATCTTTGGATGGGAAAACAAAGGTAAGAGATTTGTACTGAAAATAAGCACATGTTCAGTATTGCACTTTTTTGAGCAACAAAATTTTTTTTAATCATTCACTTAGTTGAGAAAAATTATTCTTTAAAAAATCAGATTTCGATGATGAAAAACTTTTAGCGCTAGTTTCCATTCTCAAACTCAAACGAATGAAGGCAAAACCACTAAAAAGGCACTGCATTTTTCCAAAGAGACAAAAATTTGTCTCATCAAGCCTTAAAGGAGCCCGATGGGCTTTTAAAAAAGATAACGATAATGGCATTCAACTTTTCCTTCATTTTTCCACTCAAACCAGGGAGCCGCTACGTGCACAAAAATACTCTCTGAATGAGATGAAAAATTTAAATAGACTACTAGAGCTAATTCATAGCAATCAGGGTTGGAAAAGCAAGCGCGATATCAATTACAAGCCAAAAGGACGTATCCGATGTTTAATGGCCATATTTCAGTTCCACTGCAATCGTTACTAGCTTTTTGCTTTAGTTCTTGCGGAAACACGGTTCTGTTTTGAGACGAAAGAAGAATTGTTTTAGTGAAAGACTATGTCTTGCGTTATTCTCAATGTCCACAACACGTTGCGAACACCAGCCCAGTCGGCCTTCATGACAAAATGTCGCAATACCGATAACTTTCGAGAAAAATAATTTTCCTGTTTTCGGCGGAACAAAAGAGTTTTATTGTGTCCAAAAGATAATGGCCAGTTCATGAAAGACAGTGCCCGTCGGTTCTGGCTTAAGTTAGCTTATACGGTTTTAGCTGGTTTTCAAAAATCAGACACCATTTGGTTTTTTCGAATCGCAGACATCAGCCTTTTAAAAAAGCGACTGCCATAACAACACATGCTTTATTTGATTTGAATGGGATTTGAGCATTTTTGAAAACTATAAATAATCATACGCCGAAACTGTCAACGTGCATTGTTCAAGAGCACTTATGCTTGGAAATTACTATTCAAGCGCGTTCTTCATTTCAAATTGTGTTTTCTAGTGTGATCCAGACATCGTGGTGCGTGGGAATCCGCCCTGGTTCTAATTCTAAATTATTTGGCATAATGTGCTTGGAATGCATTAGCTTGTTTGCGATTTTTTTCATAAAGTTTAGTTAACTTAGTATCCTTTCAGCCTTTCCAATTGGACCCCAGGAGAGTAAAACATGCAAACTTTTAATTGCTTATTAAACTCCCGAACTTGCAAAACTTCAATAACTGTGTTTCTGCGCTTTTGACAAAAGTGAATCTACTACAAGACTGCAAAATAAATAAATAAATAAGCGTATTAGCGTAGAAGGACAATTTAGTCTGCTTTTAACAGTTGTTAGAAGAAGAAAAAAAACAAATGTAAGCAATGCAAGAAATCTGACCAGCTTTATGTCAAAATTTTGAGATAGCAAACTTTGTCTGCGAGCTCCAAAGACTCTTCATCCCATCTAAGCTTGGCCCAAGACAAAGGGATTGTATGATTGTTGGTTCTTGGGTAACTTTGCATGCATTTCAATCAGTTTGCAAACTAGTTTGCACACGCACGAGGTGGAACACAATGGAAAGCATAAATTTATGCTTATAAGTTTGAAAAATCCAAAATCGAGCTCTTGGTTATGAGAAAAGAACATACTTCAGCCCAAACGCAAGCTTAGCTAGTACGTTGTAAGCGATTTTTATGCAGTTTACGTATATAAATAGCAAACCTGTATACGAGATTTTAAATTACTTACTGGCTTCCACATCCAATGTAATGTTTCCTCCGCCATTTGAAGCAGATGCTAAAACGGCAAAGAGGCATTATTAGCAGAAATACTTTGGAAACACAAATCGTAAGCAAGATGATAAATTAGAAATCTTAAAAAGAATGAACGTGTTAAATGAAGCAATACCACGAGACCTTTGCATTTTAATTTGTCTACGCCCAACCTCTACACTCTTAGTCTGGAAGACCCGGTAGGTCAGTAAACGGAGTGCAGCGTACGAAATGATGACGGCCAAGCTTAACAAAGCAAACTCAAACAGTCCGTGGAAAACCAATTCTGTTGAGAGAACAGACCTTGGTCTACTAATTTGAAACAGTGAACTCATTCCGACCTGCATGGTCAAATTAAACGCAGCGTTGTGTACATAAACTGAAAATGGAGAGGTTGAACAAAGTCTTTTTACGAAAAGGACCATATATTAAGCCTTTCTACAGCCTATACATTAGCGTTTTCTTTTTGAAATGGAAACGCTTTAAGAACTTGAGTGACTAGAACACGGTCACTCGCACTTAAGAAACCCAGAAACTCTCGTCTCACCACCATTTCTCATTTTAAATTTAAAAAGAAGAATCCTGTTTCAAAATACCTATATAGTTAGAAGGACCTACCTATAGTTAGAAGGAGTGAGATGCACAAGCAAAAGAAGGCCTTCATTTTTGTCTCCTAAGCCACAGTAAAATCCGCGCTGAAAAGACAAAGTTCGCTACCGACTAATCCTCACCGCCGTCAAGTCGTATCCAGAAAACCGCGCGCCGCCTTTTTAAGTCTTTGCGCATCTGCTTAGCTATCAAGCGTGACAAAATATACAATTTGGACACGCCAGCTATTGAAATGGGCGTTTTCATTGTTCTTTATTTTGTTGCGGAGGATAAGGGGTCTTGCTTTCGTAATTGACGAGAAACGAGAGAAGATACTTCTAGTTTTAGAAGCCGACGAGATAACGAAAGGAAAACGAAATTATATTCACTAGGAAGGAAAGTTTCGATTGAAAGTGATGAGCTGAACGCCCGGTGAAAGTTATGCAATACATTGATTATGTTTCAAAATCCATTTGAATAGTCACAATGTACGATCACACTGCATGATTACATTGATTTCCACATAAACTGAACACTCCTATGATAATCGTTGTGCGCTTGAAATCTCCGTTTCTTGCTGTAAGAAATATTACCAACATCTAAATTTAATTTATCGGTTATTTGTTTTGCACCGAGATCATTCTCCGATCTAGCGGTTTATATTTGCCATTCATCGTGAACCTTAAAGCCAAAGTAATTAACCATAAATTGTTTACCGTGGATTAGCGGCACAAAAGATTTCAACTATTTTGCATAAATGTCTTTCGCTAATCATGGAATGAAAGGTTCTAGATAATTTTGCCAAACTACCATGCGCAAAAGCGGAGCCCATGGGACGCCGCACTATGAACAAAAAAATTGAAAGGATCAGTGTAAGTTTTTTTGCAGAAACTACTGGTCCCTCTTGCAGTTGACGCAGAGCTTCTTAAGCTCAATACCTCAAAGACAAGTCGAAAATAAATCTTGCTGTCTGCGAATCCTCTGTCTCTCTTTACAGAATTGCGAGCTTAAGCAACGACGGCGATGTCAAAGAGAACGGCAAAAAAACATTAGGTTTATTAAGAAAAACAACAACTTTGCACGTGCATCACGCTTTTTTGTACTGATTTCTTTGCAGTCCTTGCACGACTACGACGCAAAATTTCCTAATTTCACGTTTTGTGGAGGACGTGACCACTAGACAGGAAGTAACCGCGTGTTTTTTTTTCCTTTCTTTCTTTCTTTTCTTTTCTTCTTACCTCAGACTTGACACTCACATTGTTTGGACGGGCCCCCGAGGTAACCTTTGTTGACTCCGGCCGGATTAGACACTGAAATAAAGAGAGGGCTGGGGCCCCGTTGCCGCAACTACTGACCTCTCGTTTATTTCATCCATTTTAGTAGGAGGTCGTTATCAACATTTTTTTATTCTTCACTAAATATAAAACTGCGATCAGTCAGTGTTTTGATTATAACGACCTCCACTTTGCAATGGCTACCAGTTTAAACCTTTTTTTCATTATTGAGATCTTGGCTACGACAAAGTGGGTGATTCCTGGTAATTATAAATCATAATTCGAAGCAAATCAAGAGACCTTTGAGAGGTATTTCATTTTTTTCACTCCAAGATCTGACGTATAATTTTTTGCTGAATTAGACGTAAACTTTTCAACTGTCAACGTCACTGAAAAACTCTCGTTTCAAAGTATTCGTTCCCAATAGAACTGACATTTGGAAACGGTCTCAAGTTGCGTCCGGAGGATGGAAATTCAGAAAAAAGCTTATAGCGAGGAAACCCCGCTTTTACGGTAAAGGAAACAAACGTCAACAAACTCCATCCTCAGGCATGGCCTCTTCCCGAGACTCAAACCAACTCACTATAATGGCACGGGCCGTACTTCTATCATTGCGCCACCCTTGCAACAAAGTTAAGTTCACACTAAGGCCCTGTTTACATGAAGGTGGGGGACCCCAGGTAGGTGAGATAAACTGCTCAGGTGGGGTGAAAAAATAACCCTCCTTTACATGCAATCTTACAACCCGCCATCCCGGGTTGTGCTTTCTCAAGATTATTGAATGATCGCTTAGCACGTAAACAAGAAAAATGCTAGTAAACCACGTTTTTTGGTGATTAATTTTTTTCTACGCTCACTTGCTGCTCTTACTGCAACCTTCATTGCTGTGGCTTTCTATTGTTACCTTTAATAATGATGCAAAGCCACCGCCAAAGTGAATTTTGCAAGAATTTGATGTATCACGAATCCGATCCCGGCTAGGCGGGTTATCCCACCTTGAGACGTTTACATGGCAAAATTGGACCCTGGCTAAGAGGGTTACCCCGTCTGGCTGGCCGGGCTACTAGCCTGGGCGGGTCACCACATTTATCATGTAAACGTGATCAAATTAAAATGAGAGATTATATGGACAGGCGGGTTACCTCACCGAAGTGCGTTACCTCACCTACCTGGGGTCCCCCACCTCCATGTAAACAGGCCCTAAATTACCTCCAACCAAGGAAACCTATCAATTCAACAAGGGGTTTTAGAATCGAGAATGTGGTTCCACACCGAGCCTCGCTCTTACCCGCCGTGGAGGTGCTTTCTGTTGTAAGAGTAGCTAATGCAGTTGAAACACCTTCAATATCTTCAATAACTACAGTTGTCATGGCTCGATCACCAATCGTCACACCGGGTTGGGCTGGATCGTTAAGTGCTAATTTGACTTCAAAAGCTTCCTCTCCCTCAACCTCATCATCGTCGATTATTGAAATCGAAACAGTTTTCTCTGCGTCACCGGATGCAAAAATTACAATTGAATCTGTCGTTCCATAGTCTACATCGGGACTGGCTGTTATTTCCGAAGTAGTTACCCTGGAACAAGAAAAAAAGATGTATGTTTGTTAAATAAAATTGGAATTGAATATTTGTGACCAATCTACCGCGGAACCCGAACTTTCAGCAATAGATAACTGGGAGACAAGGCCTTGTCGGCTACACGTGCACCAAAGGGTCACAGATCGGGTTTGACGTTTTATTCCAAGCCATTTATAGGATGTTTTTGATAGCGATGGTCGTGGTGTTGGTGATGACAATAGTAATGCAGGTGATAGAAATCTCAAATGGTTTGTAATTTTCTTACCTCACACTAGCAGACACATCCGTATTACCGGTATTCTCGATCACAACAGTGACTTGTCCTGAATCCTCCGGCACGTTTATTTCTGATCTTTTAAACTGAAAAACAGCGTCTGAAAGACATATGTTATTGGCATATATCAGTTAACCCCGATGATCTCTGAGTGGTGTTGAAGGAAAAAATGAAAAGCATGTTTTAACCCTCGGACACACAAGGTGGGGGGCGGGGGGGGGGGGAAAAGTTGCCACCCCCCCCTCGGCCGTGTCCGTCCGGGGGGTAAGAGACCGAAATAATTGGTTCCCAAAACTCCCCCCGTTTATGCCCCCCTAAAACCGCGCACGGTAAGAGTATGGCGGGGGGGAGGGGGGGGGGGGGAGAGAGGGGGACAAGGGGCGACTGGTGGAGAGGAGCAGGGAAGAGACAGAGACGGGGGCGGCGGGGGCGCGGGGGGGGGGGCGGGCGGGGAGTGGGGGGGCGTGAGGCGTCCACCGGTCGGCAGGGGGGGTAGCCGGGAGGCAAGGCAGGATTAAGGTATGGTGTGTCGGCACCCGGCTGGGTGGGGGGGGGGGGGGAGGGGGGGGGGGGGGGGGGGGGGGGGGGGGGGGGGGGGGGGGGGGGGAGGAGAAGGGGAAAAGGTCTCCTTGCTGGTACCCTTGATATCGGGGTTGGTATCGCGTATGTGTCGATTACTCTTATGCCCGTGTTTGTAAGCTATCACTGTAACTTGAATTGGGAATCTAAAACATGCACCAGGAGAGAGCGAAATCTTCTACATCTGTGCAGTTGTAAGGCACACATGTTATTTCAGCCATTCCGCGTGAGTTGTGTTAAGCGTAGCAAGGAATGTCGATCATCTATGTCAATTATCCGAGTTCGCTTAGTCGACCGGTAAACCAGAAACTGACCTAAATAGTCTAGCATTTTCCCCCAAATGCGAACTTTAAGAACTAGAATTTTTATCAGCTCTACGCTTTCTTTTAAAAATAATTGAATAAAACAATATTTGTGATCTAGCTAACAACAATAATATTCATTGATTACCTTGGGCAGTGCAGAGGTAAATAGCAAACACCTGAATTATAAAAAACTTTCCTACTTGCGGCATTGTGAAATTAAACTGAAGTGGTTCACCATCAGTAAGATGAATCCAAACAAGCCTGAGACGAGTCCAGCAAACTCACTGCCCAACGACAGGCGACAGGTGTGCTCGCTTGCAACTTGACATCCGCGCGCTGGTCCGTGACACCGCTGATTAAATGAGCGTAATGGACGACACTGAATAATCACTCTGTTTCACAAATAATACCGTGGAATTGTTCTCGATGGAGTTAATTGAATTGAATGGATGAAGTTCCATTTAGCTATTTGCATACATCATCCTACAGGCGTGCTTAGTTACCCCTGGGCAAAATGTGCTTCTGCAGGCGAATGTTTGCCTATTTCGATCTTGCACGAAAAGAAAAAAGAAGATAAAAGAAGAAGAAGAAAGAACAAAGCAGAAAGGAAAAGAAAAACGTTTCGAATTTGGATAAGTTAATAAATTCCCTTGGAGTCAGTTTCACAACCACCATTTGTAATATCTATCTTAAAAGCAGACAGCTTGAGAGATACTTAACTTTTTTTGTTTCTTAGATATTCTGAATGCTGCAGAAAATTAGCTCAAACATGGTCTTACTTTATATTTTCACTTTTCCCTCCACGTCTCGCGGAAGGCGATTACACGCGTACACGTTTTCCTAATCCCACATAAACTCAAGAAAGAATAAGGGATTGCTCGCTTACTCGTAAGCTATGTCGCAATAAACTGAGTCCCAGTGTATACAAGTTAGTGCGTATGGCTTCGATACTTATTCAACATGTCAACATGCATTGGTTGCCGTGAGTAAACGAGTTAGGAAGAGGGACTGAAACCACTCTTTAAACCTTGTCAAAACATCGCCTTAGTTAATTGTCCAAAAGCCCAAATACTGAAAACCACAATATACCCTTTGAATTAACCTTGAATTCGAATATTTCAGTCCGTGGGCCGGGACTGTTCTGTAGTTTTCCACACTCACCACAACTAATTTCACCTGGGGTTCATATGATAAATTACAAATTTCAGCACGGTTTCCGAGACGAGGCGTGAAATTCGAGAAACAAAGCAAACATGGCGAAACACAAAGTTATAACTTTCGCGCCTATCATAGCTTTGGCAACTCTTATCATGGCTGTATCACTACAGTTAATGCAGAATTCATTCGAACAATTCATCCTGCTTTCATCCCGGTAACCAGGCTGAAGTGTTCATATGGCAAAAATTTTCAGCCCGCAGCTTACCGAGATCAAGGTGGAAAAACCGAGATCTGGGAAACCGAGCCAGCCCGCCCTCTCACTTGAACACAACGAAAATTTTACTGAAAGGATTCAGAGGTAAGGCGAGATCCCGGGGGGGGGGGCACTTTAGGAATTTCTGGGAAGGGATGTGCCGCTGGGACCCTGGAAACCTTGACCTGTACCAGAGCTAGTTCAGCTGAATTTTGCTACCCTATACTAGAGTAAACTCCCAAAATCCCCCTATCCTAGAGTAGCTGTTTCCCTAGGCTAGATAAAATCTTCAACCAACTGATCAGTTTCCTGAAAAATGATACCCTATTCTAGACCCAAACACTCTGATTTATACACCCTATCCTAGAGTAAACTGCTTGAAAACCAGTACCCTTCACAGCGGCACATACCCATATAGCCCATATACGGCAGTACCCCCCCCCCCCCCCCGGGGGAGCTCTCGGAAACCCCCCCAACCCAGTCAAGCGGGCTTATATGAAGAGGCCCTAATGGGGAAGTAACAATTTGGCCCTAAGTAAGAGTGGAGCATTAAATTTCCCCTTTTAATATCAATGCTCTTTACAAACATAGTTCGCCCCAAGCAAGGAAATCGAAGACAGTCCTGGATTTTGGATTCTGATCCCGGATTCCAGCTACTTAATTAGTCAGTGGAACCTGGATTTCGGACTTCCAGGATTCCAGTGTTTCAAACCGGAATTTTTGTTGAATGGAAAGCGCCCTACGTTCCACTGACAAATATTACGGAATCCAGAATCCCGGGCGTCGAATCTAGACAAGACTGTCTTGGATTCCCTAACATAGGGCGAAACCAAGATTTTTCCAAAAAAACTCCTGTGTTCTTTCCCCCCAGGGAGGGGGGGGGGTACTCCCTTTTTTAAGCCATATAGGCAAGTGCCGCTTCGGGCAACTACGGGAACTACGGGAGTCATTTGAGTCTTTCTCACTCAAATGAGTAAGAAAGAAAGAGAAATATGCCAATTGCGACATTTTTTGGTCTGAAAACAGGGTCAGGACAACCAAGAATTGTCAGAAGTGTCCCCCCCCCCTTCCATATTCTTTCCACTAGCCTGTTCCAGGCGTTCAGATAACATCAGATAGCAGAGCGCGGGAAAAAAAATCACGCAGAAAAAAAAAATCGAGGGGGGACTAGAGGGGGAAAGGGGGGAGAGAACGCGTTCTCTCGCTCTCACCACCCCCCCCCCCCCCCCCCCCCTTCCCCCCGTCCCCACATACACCCCCCCCCCCCCCCCCCCCGCCCCACCTCCTCTGCACCCCCCACCGGCGCTCTTTCCCCCCCCGCAACGCAACAAAAAATCCATTAAAATTTTATTAACTTAAGCATTCCAATGAGGCCCAAAAAAAGAAAGAAGACGAGGAGGGGAAAAAAAATCACGGAAAAAAAAAAAACCGGGGGGGGACTAGGGGGGGAAAGGGGGGAGAGAACGCGTTCTCTCGCTCTCACCCCCCCCCCCCCCCGGCCCGTTTTCCCGGTGTACAACTTAAGTCGCTCCCCATTCACCGCCGTGCTCTACTATCTGAACGCCTGGAACAGGCTATCTTTCCACTGACGGCAGAGTACAAAGAAAGTCGTTAAAAATTTCCTCACAACAGTTTGACGAAGGATACAAAGCCGAAAAATCACTATTCACCTCGAAGAGTGTCCTTCACTGAGGCGGATAAGAAAAACACCAAACACTAAAAAAACTACCCCTCCCCCGCACGTTCGTCATAAGGAGTGTGGAAGATCTGATCTACGGAAAACTTATAAAAGCAAAAACAGTAGACGCTATTAAAAACTTTTTGACTCAAAGTAACTTAGTTTGCTCGCGCGACTGATGCGAATAGAAAACTGTGACTAACTGACAAAGCCCCTTTCCTTCTGATGTTTACTACAGCCTTTATTATTTTAATTTTTTTAACTACAAGAGGGTTTCCCCCTTAAAACACTTGACCGCCCTAAAATCATGACAGAGAGGATGATTTTAGTACACCGTCACGCAATCTTTCGAAAACAATGTCCTTTAAACATCAGTTTATCCTTTCGGTTTATTTTAATTCTAGGCTTAATTGTTCATTGAAATTTTCATTCTTTTTTATCCTTTTAAATCGTACAGGTTTTGCTACATTGACCGTATGTTGTGACCCGGTGTTTGCACTGGGAGAGCGTGACCGGCAATGACGTCATTTTATAAGCTGATGCAATTTGAAACACAAACGCAGAAACATCGCATTTATAAATCCGGTTCTTTTAAAACTCTCTTACACTTTCCTTGCAAGGGTAAAAGCAGTTTTCACAGCAGAAATGGAACTGTCACACGATGGGAAATGTTACAAATTGATTACAGTTTCATCAGACATAAGCTCAATTTGCGAAGCAGATTTTAAAGATAGCGGTACACTGTATGCTGGTTATATCATCGATTTTCGAACTGTCAAAGCAGAGGATATTATAATCAAATTAGCAAATTTTTGTCAGTTAATTCAGAACCCCAAAGTTTCGTTCGCCTGGTTAAACTGTACTTTTTCAAAGTTTCTCGAGATAAAGGAGCGGCTGACAAAGCTTTTGAAGGACAATGGCGAGGTGTCTTTACCTACCAGAAATTCAACGATCATGAAACTTTCATCACATGACCCGCTGAAGTCAGGCGCTGAAGCTTTGAGAACAAGCATTGACCTGCTGAGCTTCGGCAAAAATCTCCTCGATATCCAACGTTTGATGGATGCACATCCAGGGCTATTACATGGAAAGTTTCAATTGAGCAACAATTTAAAGAGGAAAAGGAATGATTCCGGCGCAACATCTAATGATCCACCCGTTGGTTCAGCGCCTTACAGTGACAGCCGTCGCCCACGAAAAGAGGTTTTTAAAGCTCTAAAAAAGATGCAAAAAGAAGTGTCTAGCGGCCCCAGTTGTAGCAGCCTTACCTACTGCTATATGTGCAAGTCAGAGTTAACCTTAGATGACCTCTGTGACGAATGTTGTATTCTCAATGGCAAAATGAAAAGAGTGTCGTGTGATTTACAAGGAAGGTATGCTATTGTTACCGGTGGGCGAATCAAGATTGGATTTGAGACGTCTCTACGCTTGCTGAGAGATGGCTGTTTTGTAGTAATAACCACTCGATTCACTGTTGACGCCACTCACAGGTAAAGTTTCTTTCTCTTACTACTGGTCACGCATCCTTGGTCACGCACCCTGGGTCACGCAATTTGGGATACGAAACCAACCAGTCAAAAAATTGATTGAAATATTATACAGTCTATAATTATATATTATACAGTGTATAATTATGTATTATACAGTGTATAATAATTTTTTTGGAAGTTTGTAGTCTAAAAATTTTAATCAATGAAAGTGATTGATTGACTATATCAACTTTTAAAAACTAGCAAGGTTATGCAATTAGCAGTCACAGTGCCCAGAGAGCAACCCTCTATTGCGATATCTAACTTAAATTAAAACCTCATCAGATCATAACTTTTGCATTATCCTTGCAGTGGTCTCTCACAAAAAGCTCTGGCCCACAAATTTTTAGTAGCATTTCTCAAAGTATTTAGGTATAAATTTCTAGTTATTTTCCTTTGATTTTAGGTTTAGCAAAGAGAGTGATTTTGATATTTGGAAACATAGACTGAAAATCTACCGCCTTGACTTGCAAGACTTGCGATCAATTGAAGAGTTTCTCGAGTGTGTTAAAAAGACCATCCCCCATTTGGACATCTTGATCAACAATGCAGCACAAACAATCTTTCGACCCTTCCAATACTATCAATCATTGATCTCTAATGAAGTAATGCAGTTACCAACTTTGTCAAAAGATTCCTCCAACCTGATGGCCTGCGAAGGTCAGACTCACAAGGAACTGGTGTTCCACGGTTCCATTGCTCCAGTGCATTTTACAAATTCAACTTCTAACCAATCAGCTCTTCTGTGGGGAAGAACATCAGGTGAGTTCCCAGATGGCCAAAAGGACGAACATGGTGAGCAGTTGGATTTACGTCCGCGCAATAGCTGGACTTATAATCTGGATGAGGTTCCTTTGCAAGAACTATTGCAGGTATCTTTCAAATTGCTTTTTATACATCTTGATGTTCATGTTCATGTCTATTACTAAAATTACACTAGTTTTATTCCAATGCAATTTCCTCATTTTGATCAGCTGAGCTAGACTTATAAAGACGGTTTTATGACATATGTTTTATTGCTTGTAATTTCTTTGTCTTATGAGAAATTTCTGCAATTTGATTAGCTTAGAGCAGTGGTATTTCGGCTTAATTTGAGATACCTACATGTGGAAATTACAAACTGTTTGTGGGTAGCAGTATAAACAAATAATAGCATGATTTGTACGTGATATTTGGCATAAATACCACTCATGATATTTCAAAATTGTCTGAAATTTCACTCGCCTAACGACTTGTGAAATTACATATAACAATTCTGAAATATCACTCATGGTATTTTTGCCAAATATCACTACAAATCACAATCATGCTACTACCTATACTAATATTTTGCGATACAATATGGACGAACACCCTTTGAGACCAGAAAATAATGTCCGCTCTAAGGAGAGGTCTCTGCCTAAGGGAGGTTCAAGCTTATTTTCGATTTCTGTCAGTTCTGACAGCTCAATGGGTTTGTGTTGGGGATGCCTATCTCTTCTTTCATTGGCTATTACGAAGTTGCGCAGGAAACGGAGTTAAAATTCATCCACCAAAACAGTCCCACAGTGCAGTTCAACACATCACTGACCCAGGTTCAAGCGCGCAACCTTAAAATGGCCAATAGACCTTTTTACCGATACGGCGGCCATATTGAATTAATTTGATTTAAGGAGTATTATAGGATGCCCAGGGGGGCATAAACATATTTCGTTTGTATTTTTGAGCACTTTTCGGGACATTTTTTCTTAGTTTTCTTAGAATAAGATTGCAATGGGAAAAACGATCTTTGTGCCGTGTTTGGATGTAATAATGATCGCCTTTTTTCCGAGAAATATACAGTGAAAGATTATGTTTCTATTACTAAACTAGAAAAGGGCGATCATTATTAAATCCAAACATGGTACAAGGATCTTTTTTCCCATTACACTCTTATTCTAAGAAAACTTTAAGAAAAAAAGGTCCCGAAAAGCGCTCGAAAATACAAACGAAATGTGTTCATGCCCCCTGGGCATCCTATAATACTCTTTAAATCAAATTAATTCAATATGGCCGCCGTATCGGTAAAAAGGTCTATTGTGACTGCACTATCTTTCTACTCCGGGCCAGCCCCCCACTCCCCCCCAACTCCCTCCCTCCCGCCCCCCACCCTCCTCCCCCACCCCCCCCCGCTCCTCTCCCCCCCCCTCGCCTACCTCTCACCAAACTTCCCCCCACACACCTACTCCACAACGATCACTATACGTCACTACTACNGCCGCCGTATCGGTAAAAAGGTCTATTGTGACTGCACTATCTTTCTACTCCGGCCCCGCCCCCCTCCCGCTCCTTTATTCTTACTTCAGGCAGCCTTACGAGCTGTTCACATCCAGCCGGCGAATTTATCTACAGTTTAAAAACAGAGAATTAAAATAACAAGCCAAATTTGTATCATCTGCGGTAATAAATTAAGATTCGTGTGCGGTCGAGGCATATGAGAAATCCTAACTTTTCGCGCATCCTGTTTCTTAAAATAACTTGAAAGCTGGCACTACGTATACTTTCTTAGAAATAAGGCCTGTTTGTCTCGATATGGTCCATTCGGAGCAAACGAAGCAAGCTTGTACTAGACAAAATGGTACAAATAGTCGTTAATCTTGAAGCATATGACATCGTTCTAGACTATTGGTCGAGTTGATCATACATTTTACATGAAAGAAAAAAAAATCTTGTTAAACGGCATCTTATAAAGACGAAGTTTCAATTAGACTTTACTTTATTTGTTTCAAGGTCTTCGATCAATTCTCTCTATTATATTTTGTCGACTTTAACCTGTGTTTGCTCGGCTCTGGTGGAAACAACTGTTTCACATCTTTTTCGAGTTGTAGGGAGCATTAATAAACCAGCACACTAAGACTTTTTAATTTTACCTATGATACTCTAGAATTAACTCAGCCATGGCTCTTATAAGCAGATCTGTCGACTCCACTTTAAGCTTTAGTTTAATTTCTTGTATTAAGTTTTGAGCGTTTTTTTCATTTCAAAAACAACAACGGTTTTTTTCGCGCGCTTGCACGAGGTCTAAGTCTGAGCCTTGGGAACTTCTTCGATTATGATGCGGGAGACGGAATTCCAACCTGTGTATGCGTCGACGCTTCCGGAATATCCGACACAGTTACCGACGCTAAATCCAACTCGCACCCTCCCCTGGTGAATGTTGTTACAGTGTCCCTCGAGTTGACGGACCCGGTGAGGATTTTCATTTTTGATGCTTAAGTAGACAACACCGTCGATGGGGAGTGGACCTGAGCATTCGGCGCCATTGAAAGTGAAGTACCACCGCTTGCAACAGTTTACACAACCAGCTATTCTTAAAGTACCAACCCAGACCACTCGAAGAGCTGTTTCAGAGAAGTTTTTGGTAAACAAACATTCCTGCGTGATAAAAAAAAAAAAGATTGTTCAAAGATATTAATTATACCTCAAAGTTGTGATCAACCAAAAGGTATTATTTGATTTGCATGCCTCTGTTGATCTTGATACAAATCAAGTGGGATGATAAATTATAAAAAGGAGATTAAACATTTGAAACTATTGGCCAGCTATTAGAATTCACTCACTTTTGATTCAGATCTTCACTTATCGTTTCATTTCGATACAATATTCGGGCCCAATTTGTATGGACATTTACAATGGCTCGCTTTCGTCTCACCATTGTAAATACTCATACAGATCTGCTGTATTGCTGTAAAAAGGAAATAATTCAGAGGGTCAGCAAGGGTGGTAAAGTGGTGAGAGCATTCGCCTCAGACCAATGCGGCCTAGACTCGAACCCCTCTGAAGTGGCGCCAAGGCATATTTTGCTTAAGTTTGTTTTTGGTTTCCACCCTTGCCCTGAGACGTTTTTTTCTGACACTTCGGTTTTTCTCCTGTCCTCAAAAACGAACAATTTCAAATTCAATTCGATTCGGAATTGTTGACGAAAAACCACAGTGTACATTCGCCAATACTAAGTTGATTTATCTGTTTATGTGTGATGATTTATCTATTAATTAATTTTTTTTATTTGTCTATCTTACTGCTTTTATTACTTCTACTTCGATAAACGGTAAAGGACAGTTTCAGGATGTAGGTGATTACTTTGAATATTACTGACGACAACTTGCCATTTATGCAAATTTTTCCGCAAAATAGGGTTTTTTTTCTGAAAGAGGGGGGGGGGGGGGGGGGGGCGGGGGCTTATCCCAGAGTGACACAAACGGGCCATAGACCCCCACCCCATACACGATCTACACAAAACCCTTTATACACCCTATTTCTCTTCCAGTTCTCCCGTTTTCCAAAACCCCCTCTTCCCAGTCTTTAAAAGCCCCCATCCGGGTTTTTTTTTTTTTTTTTTTTATGTTCAACAAAAATACGGTATATTTTTGGGTTTGATTTTTTTGTTTTGTTTTTATATATTCTAATTGTCTATCTTTTTTTTTATTTATGTTGTTGGGAGGTTTTGGTGTTTTGGGGGGGGGGGGGGGGGGGGGGGGGGGGGGGGGGGGCTGATACTCGAGTGACACCAACATGCCATAGACACCATCACCATAGATGATCATAACACAGACCTTGATTAATCCATTGTCTCTGTCATCGTTCACGTTTTTCCAAGCACACTCTTTCCAGTTCTTGAAAGGCATCATACCGGGATTTCCAGGCTCTCCGCGCTCCCCCTTTTGACCGGGAGGACCCTGGGCGCCAAGTTCTCCCTTAGCACCATCCTTTCCAGTTGCACCAGCGGGACCTATGACACCAGGAAGACCCTGGGGGCCAACAATCCCCGCAATTCCCTGGTCTCCTTTGGCTCCGTCTCGTCCGTCACGGCCGTCGCGGCCTGGTGGCCCAGGCGTACCTGGCTTGCCATGTATGCCTGGAATGCCGCCATAACATAGGCGAGTAGACTGGTGATACAATTGAAAAGAGTGAAACGGATCGAACCCTCATTACACAAATGTTTTATTTATCTCTTTATAATGCTATTGTTTAAGGAAGCTTCCCATAACAACTGCGGGAATCTGCCATCGCAGAAATTGCTTTAAAGATCTGCAATATGTACATTGTTATCCAACACTTACACCAGTCTGGCCTGTTTTGCTGCTACCGTCAAGGTTCGCACAGAATGTAGTCATACTTGTTAATAATAACGGGTACAAACACAAAACTGAGGTCACTTGAGTTCTCGCCATCGATGCTCAGTTGCCTAACGATAAATGAGACAAAAAAAAAACGACGTACTAGTTGAGTGGAATGCACTGTGTTGGAACACCGTAAAGGACAGCTGCCCCTTGGAACTGTTTATAACAAAAGGCCAGGTCATGCGCGATTAACTGGTTACTCGGGCTGGTTCGCGCTCCATAAAATCAGGTAGATTTTCTTGCTAAAAAATGCTGTCAAGCTTTTCTTCTTCAGGCCAGTTTTCGTGGCACCCTAGAGGCTAAGCTTCATATAATTCCTACCTAGGCAAATCGAGAAATGTAATAGTGACTTTTTTTTCTGTTATTTTTTTTTTCGTATGTAGAGCTTGCTCAGATTGATATTGGCTTTTGAGGTAATCAAATAATCGATCGATTTTTGTAGATAATTTTACAGGCGGCTTAGAGGCCTCTATTTTATCGGTGTAGTGGATTATACGGGGGTTACTATAGAATTTTTAAAAGAAGGTGTGGGGCAGGGTGTCACACCGTGATATACCCAGGCCACTTACGAGATTGTTATGTCAAAATCCATATTTGTTTAACTAAAACTGACATTTTTTGGATGTTCAGTGAACGTGGGAGAAGGACAAACCTGCACAATAGCTGCATAATGTTTAGATGAGTCGTGTGGCAAGAAGGAACGGATATGTCGTCTCTATAAACTAAATTTAGCCCATACAAGAACCGCTGACGAAAGTACCTTGATCAGTCTATAACACATTTCTAGCGTTTTTGTGGAAATATGAAAGAGATGCCCCCCTCCCTCCCTCCCCCAGCTACGCCCCTGGAATTTTTGAACTCTGATATTGAACTTTGAGCGTATGTTTACAAGAAGATCGGTAGAAAGAAAACTCTTAAAAAGAAATTAAATTAACTCAGTGAACTCGGGCAATGCTGGAGAAATCGAAGACTATACGCTTCCGCTGGGATAATTGGGTTACTCCCATGAACTGTGCTCGTAAATCACAACGCTGAAGCATGACAATATCTGCCAATATTTGCTTCAAGAAAAGTTTTGCCCCCGTTAAGTTGTTTTGGAATGTGTACTAATCGTTTGCCGACGTTTGCACGCAGTTAAGGCAGCTGTTTTAAATAAACCTCACATCTGCCCTCTTCAAACGTCGTTGATTTATACTACTGCAAACTACAGTACGGTCTGTTCATGCCGCAGTGCCCCGTTTGATAAAAATGGAAGGCTAGGCTCAAAGCAAAAAATGGTGACTTGTGCAAATTACTTAATAAGTGCTTAAGTTTCAAATTTATTAATAAGGTGTATTTGACACCCTGACGCTTAGTCACTTACCCTTGTGGTTCCTTTGGCTTCGCAATGTAGCTGGCTTGAGGCGAAACAGTCGAATGGCGCTTCTGACACACCCTATTATAGTTCAATTGACCAATTAGATAGCGACAGCGACACAAAACGACAACGCCAATACTGCAGGTTATTTTTACTCGTTAACAGTCGCCTACGTGACGCGCATGGCGGGAACAGGCTGAGTGGTCCACTGATAGGCGACTGGTGATGAGTCTTGCAGGTATTGGCTTTATTAGTAATGGGGCATTTTGTTTTGCTGAACCGATGCGAAAGTCAGTGGATAAAATAAAGACCATGATCATGATTTTTCAATATACGGTCAAATATAGACGAACTATTCTTAGAAATAAGTTCTTAGTGTAGTGGATACGAGCTTTCAAGAGAGCACTTAAATCGAGAACGCTTTATTACTGATAACGTTGGATAAATGTAAAAACATAAAGCTTACTGCAACTTGTCTCGCATCTTAAATAATTCCATATGATTCTCATGCACTTTGGAATAAATAAGCATTTGCAAATTGATTGAATACCGCAAATTTTGTCAGTTACTCTTCCTTCTTTATTCCAAATTGCACTCGACATTAAGTGCAGGGTAATTTGCAAGTAGAGAACGACAGTGAGAAGTGATACGAGTTCTAGTTTGTGAAAAAAAAACCTGTGACATTAAGATGCAATTTTCTCTAAATTCAGTAGAGAAAAATGAAAATTCTGCGCAAAAAGGTATACAATTATAAGTATATCTGTCTGAATTCGTTAAAACGTGGCAAATAGGTTTCCGCCTGGCGCCGGAAGCCAGTTTGGTCTTCAGAAATTGAGAAGGCTTGCCGTCTTAGTCGACACAGGCAGATAGCCCAGTGTTAAACCTAACAGTGGATGGGTAGGGGGTCTATTTTGACAAAAACCTTTCAGTAAGGAGCTGTGTTTACCAGAGGCTTTGACTGGCAAGTACCTTTTCAGTTCCCCTTTGCCCCAAACAGCACAATCAGGCCTCTGCTGACAATAATTATCACGATAATTGTAGAGCTCAGGGAGATGCGCGGACAGCCACCCACCTCTTGGTTGGGGAGATTGGATTCTTGGTACCCAGGACGTACTTAGCTGAGGACCTGTAGCGGCTCATTGAGGCCATGTTTACATATATTCAGTCAGATATATATTTATAAGAACCCGATTTGAGTCCTATTCTTTGCATCGTTTCCCAAAAATGCATTTTTCTATATGAGAATGGAGAAATTTTGTCATGAATAAGACTTGGGTGCTGGAGTCCTTTTTAGTACCTGAAGATTGATGCGATCTAAACAACTGTCAATGACTACTGCACCCTGCGAGCATATCCTCTTTTTGTTTTCTTGAGTGAGAAGGAAAAAAGGAGACTCTTCCTGAATCGCCGCAGCCCAAACTTCTGGATTAGTCAATCTTGTTCTCTCTCGTCAAAACGGTTATTTCGAGTGCGAGTATCCTTCTATTGATAAACCGATAATCATAGCTGAGCCCGCTGTACCAGGTTCACGGCTATAAGGCCTGGGTTCGAAACTTGTATTCTAGCAACATGTAGTGCATGCTCAACAAAGATCTCACGCGAATCATGCAGTGTCTTTCCTGTGTACGCCAAATTTAAAAGGCTTTGCTGGCAGGGTGTGACTGCTGATACAAAGGCGAAGTATCAATTAAGATGTTACATTCTCATGGCTTGCAGGTTCTGACTATCAATGCAGTGGGACCTTTTATTCTAACGGCAAAACTCAAACCACTTTTGAAACAAAGTCCGTTCGAGCGCAAGTTCGTCGTGAATGTGTCTGCCATGGAAGGTCAGTTTTCTCGTGTATCGAAAGGACATCGCCACCCTCACACCAACATGGCGAAAGCTGCCCTTAATATGATGACACGAACAAGTGGGTTGGAGTACCAAATGGATGGAATATATATGACAGCTGTGGATACTGGCTGGGTAACGGATGAACGACCATTTTATCAATCTAAGTAAGCATTTGTTAGCTGCTAACAGTGCACCACGAGGGGAGGGGCTGGAGAAAGGAATCATCGGCCTCGTCCCCAGGAATTTTTCGTTAAAACATGACGGGGGAGGCGGCACTTAGTCTCACCTCTCCCTTTTTCTAAGGGAAATCGCCTGGGCCCGGTTCCTCGAAAGACGGTTAAGTTTAACCTAGGATTAAGCCAAAATTTAAGCAAGATTTTCTCGTCTAAGAACATGCAACTCGAGCTTACTCGAGCTTACAAAATACTGTTGAGCCTTTTTTGGGCAAATCTTCTCTAAAAGGGAAAAGATACTTACCAATACAAATTTGGTAGCGTCAAGAAATATTATAAAGGAAACGGCCATACTTCCGGTCGACGTACGTCGCTCAAAAACGTCTCAGTTGCTTATGCTCCCTAACGCGTCAACAATTTTGTTGCCGATTGTAGGTCCGCAAGGCTTCCAGATTAGGCTCCTCTTCCTTATCTCAATGTCTGGATGATCTCTATAACTGGTTCTACAAATGTTGGACGAATCTTATGGAGCAAACTTGGAATAGTTTTAAGAGGCTAAAGCTCTGATCATACCCCTGCCTTAAAGAAATATTCCCTTGGAAACGTAGGCTACAGATAGTTTTTTGAATGACTTGGTTAAACGGTCCCAGATTACCTTATACGAGTAATGAACAAATCCTGAACCAAAATTGGCATGGTACTTTAGCGAAGCGGCTGTGACTTAAATCATGTCCCCCCGGGAATAGAGAAAAGTTCCCATTAGTTTTTTGGCAACAGCTCTCATCGTTTCGTTATTTCTTTCAAGGCATGAAGCAGACGCAAAGGGATTCAAACCGCCTCTTGATTGCAAGGATGGTGCTGCCAGAGTGTATCACCCAATTGTTCATGGTCTAGACCCCAGCAATTCTCCCTACTTTGCTGTCTTTTTAAAAGACTTCGGTCCTCACAACTGGTAATTGCATTGTATCCTGTCCCATCTTCAATTTACCTTGATGGTGGGTTCAGACTACGAGCAATCACGGAATTCCCTACTGCGCAATCATAGGATGCCCGCTCATGTCAACCTGGTTCTTTCTCGATTCCAACTTCACTGCAGGAATAAATATTAGAGGATGTAGAATACAAGGAGTTCTACGAGACGTTAAGGGGATGTAGGTTAATGCCTTTATGAGATTGCTGCATATCAAAAAAGGTTCAACTACCTCAAGACTAGTTTGGGACACCAACATGGCCGCCGTTTTTTTTGTTTAGGGACACGAATATCACGGACGTGTGACGTCATATGAAAACGCTCTAAAAAAATTCGTCGCGAAAAAAATTGCTGGTTTTTCATGCAATTTAAACACACAAGCTCTACAAATTAGTGTTTCAAAATCAAATAATCAAGAATACATTTGGACATAATAATGATAAAGATAAATATTCTGAAATTAAAAGTGATAGTATTTATGTTAACAATACAATCAAAAAAGTAAAAACTCAAGATTGAATAATGATTTTGCTATTTTAATAGCAATTCACTACAAAGTATATAGATAAAACTAAAGGAAAAACAAGGAAATATGTTACAATTAAATCTCAAAAGATCTCCAGAGTTATATAGTTCATTATAATTTATAGATCCAATTTAGAGTTTCTATTTTTAAAAATGGAGCTAAATGCGGACTAGATCGTATTATTTTTAAATAACTATATCTTATGTCAATTTTATTTGTTGAAATCCGTGTTAAATAAAGTTTAATTAATTGATTATAATTGATGGATGAATAGGTCCAATACATTCTTAGAGTATAGACTTATTAGTTTATTTGTTGTTGATACTACGATGTATTTTTTTCGATCTTGTCCATTTCAATCCCACACTGACCGTTCGTTACATTGGTTTTCTATGCTATGATAGACTTAATTATTTTCCTTTGGTACTTTCCTCAGATTCAAGTCCTACCAAGACATCTAGTCAAACTTTAAAAGAAAGGCAACAGTTGTAACAAATCAGTAGGTGCACCTTGTTATCAAGGGTGTCAGGTTAGTTAACCTTTTTAAAGCATAATATTTTGATAAACTCATTGCGAAAGGCCCGGTTCATTACTCCGTAAATGAACACGTTGATGGCACTACTCGCAGCTCCAAAATATGTACTTGTCAGGTACACTTGTCGAGGAACTGTCCATACGCCTACAAAACGGATACATTCTACAATCATGACAGGCCCCCAGCATAAACAAAACCCCAGTGAAACGGTGAACAGCAACTTGGCAAGCCTTATATCCTCAAGACTCGTGCTATGTCCTCTCTCGGTCGAGACGCGGAATCTCCGGTGCCTAACTGCTCGGAATACCTTGTGGTATAGGATGATAACCGCCGCCATGGGAACGGGAATGTTTATCGTCAGAGTCGTGGTGAAAAGGATAATAAAAGCCGGCGTAAATGAAGGGGAACTGTAGCAAATCACAGTTCCCGGATGAAAGGCAAAAGTAGAAATTTTGAGAATGAAAGGGAGTGCACTGCAAAGCAAGGCCCATGCCCATATTAGGAGAACAGACAAAATTGTCAGTTTCGAGGTATATAAGTTGGGGTAAAGATGGAACTTGATGACTCGTATGTATCTGTTACACGCTGTCAATGCCATAGTATGTAGAGATGCAATGCTGAAAGCAAAGACACTGTATCCTTGTAACTGGCAAATCAAATTGTCGAATGGCCACTTGCCGGCAATAAGAGCTCCTGCAGAATATGGTAAACAAAATACTGATGTCAGCAAATCTGATATTGCTAAGGAGATGATGTAATAATTTGGAGTAATCCGCAGTCTTGGATTCCGGTAAAACGCAAGGCAAACCAGTAGATTGCCAAAAAACGCCACAAAATTGATTAAGAGCAGAAGAACTGATTCCACGACTATGAGCCACATACTTCTGGATTGAAGCTCGAGTAAAATATCATGTAATTTTGGCGGAAAAGAAGTGTTTGTGGCATTTGATGATTTCTCCATATTTAGAGTGAACGGTTCCAACACGAGACAAGATCCAATCTTCACTTGCTATAACTGGCAAAAATCTCTTGTTTAAACAGTCACACCATAGTTTTTTCCTATCCAAAAGTATAATGGATTGCTTTTTCTTGAATGTTTATCCTGATGAGTACCATAAGTTGCAGGTGTAGGCGAAATAAGCTCAACCTAATTTAAATCCTTGGATGCCTAATTGTTCGTTATTTTCCCGCTCATTTTCTTTCTCTGTTTAAGATTTGTGGAAAAACCACTGATTATTTCATTTGATCGAGTGACCAAATGAGATAGTATTGGCACCTTTCTCCAGTTGCGAAAGTCTGTGCTGGTAATAACTGAAATCGTATGCCACTGGGAATCAATTTAAGTAGTGATTTGAGTTTTTGATAAAGCCTCTTATGCCATTCTAAAAACGTGGCGGTCATCTACTTAATTCTCTTCTGGGTAGAATGGTGCGTTCCAAAAAAGTGCGTCGTTTGTACAGTTCCACGACAACTTCTCGGTTCTCTGATCGCGTCTGAAAATGCAGCAGTTACTGAGAACCTTAGTTTCGTTGACAATGTATTCTTTTGCAGACAGAGTAAACGACATGTGATCTCCACTCTTCTGAGAGCAAAACAAAAGACAAGTTAATAGTGGAGCATAGATTACCCCAGGGTTCTCTTGCAATGCAAAACAGCTGCGTTCTCATTGGTAGAAGTCAAAGATTGATTCGAGAACCTTATTCTAAAACTTGTGTTCGCAGAAAAACAGGATGTTGAAGTAAAGAGATTCTGATTTTCGTGTATGATATTTTGATTAAATAGGATTCTTCGTTTTTTTTTTCGTGCAAATTTGCACGACTTTGTTTTTGGCAAAAAGAAGCAAAAATTACATTCACCAGTTTGAAAAAACCTATCCATGCGAAATTTATTGCTCTTTCACAAACAGGAAAATGTGCTTAAAGAGGATACTTGAACATAAACGGCGAGGACCTGTATATTAAGTGATTAATCAATACTCGCCGCTGCAGCCGGTTAACTTATATTCACTTCATTGCATTACAGAGTGAAAATATTAGGTAACTAACTATCGTTGAAACCATTATTACACCCTACTAGCTCTAACAGATCATTTAAAAGCATTGGAGATACCCCCAGGGCGAGGTTAAGTTTTCTGGAAAGAAACCAAAATATTATATTGGTTGGAAATATAAAAAACTGAATTTTAAAAGAGCAAAACTAGCTAGTCAGGTGGACAGTGCTAACGAGTTTAGCCCAAAGCAAAAACCTTTTTTAATGGCCGAAGTTCTTGAAATAACTACGGCCTAAAGCCCACTTTGAAGGGATTAACCCAAATACTTTACTTAGAATACCCGGCTGAGAAAGCAGATGTCAAAACCTTGAGATAATTTATAAAACAAAAAGAACTCATTAGCGACAAAATCTGATAAAGCATGGCTGAGTTTTTTCTTGCTGAAGGTGAAAAAAAAAGGTTGATAGAAAAAAATATGAACAAATCAAGGGGAAAGATGTTTTAAACCTTTTAATAAACTCGCAAGGATAGCGGCGGTCGTGTTTCATAAAGTTTAAAACACGCTGCTACACTGCGCTTCATGTTTTAAACTCGATACTGAATGCTGCTGATCAGCTCATTGATAAAAAACAAATCAAGTAGTCCTCAGAACAGCATTTGTCTGAGGGGTCATTATCTTTAGAATTTACCCATAGACATCAAGGCTGGGCAAGCCACCTTTAACAGGATGCTCTTTCTTTCATCTTTTAAAATTGATAATACACTAAAGGATATACTCTTCGGTTATTATCTTTGGGGCATAAGTACTCCTCGAATGGCTTTCCTCTGCGTTGGTGTGACTGTTTCGCATCCTGATTCACAGATAAACGCATCTGCATGCATACTAAAACCGCTTCGAGAGATTTCTGCATTTGCCGACCATCTTAAGCTACCTGTCTTGTAATTATCTCAGCTTAACAGTGTTTTCCCATAAGTATACGGTCGATTGCTGGAAAGTACCCAGCGTTTTATGGATAGTTTTCAAGGCAAGATCATCGTGACATCGTGATTTAGAATTGCATTCGCGGCTAAAGAGAAATTTCTATTTGGACGTTCACGTGACCATGTTTTTCCCTTTACTTTTAAATTACAGTTCATAAATCTTTAAAGCCTAAAGAATGATAGCCATCAAATATCTCCTAGTAAATCCATGCTTTATAAAACTTTCAATAAGTAATAATTCATAAAGAAAAAAAAACAAAAGAAATTAATGTTTAATGAGTGTCTTTATGTCTGATAAAGAAACGGCTAAACTCTACTTCCAATTTTTTAGACCAAAATAAACTCAGATCTAAATATTAGTGCAAGACTGAGTTGATCTATATCAGAGATTTTGAAGCTGTTCAAAAAACACCTGATAATACACTCCTGCTCGTTTTTAAACAGAATTAAAGACATGATCATACCAAGTGAATTTAACTGATACTTCCACAACTTCTTCTCACTACTTCTATGAATCATATATAGGGGCAACAGATGAGAATTTAAATTTTGACATTAGGGTTCACAGAGTTTGGTATATCTACACAAAATAAACAGTTTCTGAATAATTTTGCAGCTTTTTTATCTGGTCATTTCCAAATCGGTGAGAAATAGTTAACCGGAATCGAAGATTTGCCTTTTGCCGTAACGTGATTCAGTTGTAAATGTCTCTCTTTTGGTTACATTATTTCAGTTCATTCCGCAGGTGTAGTGCAGGTAGAACCAAATTCGATTTTCCGGCAAATTCTGCGAAAACAAATCATATTATAGATCGTTTTGCAGTACATCCAAATGGCGACCATGTTGGTAAACAACAAAATAACTTGAATGGGCGCCAAGTCATCCTCTCTTGATTATTGAAGTCAACCACTTTCCCAAGTAAAAACCTTTCTTTGTTCCAAGAAGTTTACATGACTGACCTGCTGACCATGTAACTGAGAACGATATCTATTGACCAAAATCATGGCCACCATTTTTGGTTTACTTCCTTATGACCAGGCGGCCATGTTGGTGGTCAATCCCCCAAAATTTCCTTTTTATAGAAATTTCCTGAAAATAAAGCTGCCTTCCCAGGTAAGGGAAATCCTCCTTTCCAGTTTTTCCTCCCCACTCAAACGACACTCGGCGAATAACGTTAGAATTTCTTCATTCGTTGAAAGGGCTTGTTAATTTGAGTACTCCGTAAAATTTCCGAGCTTCTTATAATTACAGTAATTCAATTTTCAACGAAATTGGTCAGCTATCAAAAACTGCAGAATTCCGGCTGCCAAAAACCCAGTATTAAACGAGACATTTGAAGTATTTATAACAGAAATTATCCAATCAGTATTAGTTATATCGAACTTCAGTTTTTAATAGAATGATGTTTTGTGTTAATAAGGCAAAAGTATAAACTAAGATCCACCTTTACAAAGTAAGGGAAATAACGTTTTCGCGCACTCTGATTGGCTGCCTTCCCTCTGGCTAATACTTAATAAATTGTGGCTTATTTGATAGAAGTCGGTAACATTTCACCCATCATATTAATGAAAAGCGCCCTTTTAATTATTATTATTATTATTATTATTATTATTATTATTATTATTATTATTATTATTATTATTATTATTATTATTATTATTATTATTATTATGTAAAATTTAGCACAGGGATTTTCCCTGGGGAGAAATATCCAGTCAAGTCTCATCCCGAGACCTCAGACTTCCAGCACTTTTCTGAGGATATGTGCCGATCCGAGGAGTGCCGACTTTTGCATCGTTCTTGTTCGGTTCTTAATTCCTAGTTGCTCCAAGTGGCCCGCCAGCTTCTTTGACACTGAACCCAATGCACCTACAACCACTGGCACCACTTTTGTCCTTGATTTCCAGATCCTTTGAATCTCTCTTGCCAGGTCTTGGTACTTTTCACACTTTTCAGTTTCTTTCTGCAGAATATTACTATCTCCGGGAACAGCTATGTCCACAATGATTGTTTCCTTTGCCTTCTTTTTCTGACTTACAATGTCTGGCCTCCTGTGATGGATTTCACGGTCTGTTTGGATGGTAAAGTCCCACAACAGTTTAACCTCCTCATTCTCTTCTACGCTTTTGGGGGAATGCTCATACCATTTGTCACTGCACTCAACTCCATATTCCTTGCACACCTCCCAATGAATGACCCGCCCAACAACATCATGCCTCTTTTTATATTCTGTCTGCGAAAGCTTGGGGCAACTACACAAAATATGCTGTACAGTTTCATCGTGGCTACCACACATTCTGCATTTGGATGATACATTTTGGTTNGCTGCTTTCTTTTTTTTTTTTTTTTTTTTTTTTTTTTTTTTTTTTTTTTTTTTTTCAGTCAAATGGGTCATACGCCAGAACAAAGGCTTCAGTCACTTTAAAATGAATTTCTAATTTCTCTATCCGGCGCTAATTCAAAAAGTGGTATGGCTCTTACCCTCGGCTTGTTAACTATAGATTTGAGAGTCTGTAAGCAAATGTTCCTTAGTGATGCTTCTTCGTTTTTTCCAAAAAATCCGTTTTCGAATGCCAGAAATTCAAATCGGCTTTTTTAAACGTCTAAGGAAAACAAAAATTAAATTGAATTCCATTTTCCCACGCCACTGAAAAACGGTTGGCACTAAGCCGGGTTCTGCACGCATTCGCTTCGTATGCTGAAATGGTTCTTAGCATATCGTCCTTTAATTTGATAACCTTAGCGGTCGCCTTTCCGGTTTTTGGGCACTGAAACGCCCACTATCTTCGACAAACGGATGCCCATGCATTGATGTCTGTCAACATGTCCGAAGCGCATCATGACGACTTGACAATTTATTTGTATTACATAACGTGTTTACTCTTTTCTGGGCATCCCTGTGCATTCCAATTCAACATTAGCCTGCGTAGCAGGCGCTAGGAAATAAATGGACGCAAGAAAAAACGCGCGCGAGAGAAGGACACACGCGTTTTTTCTTGCGTCCGTTTATTTCCTAGCACCGGCTACGCTGGCTAATTCAAGATGCATACAATTTGTGCAATACTAAACCTTTATTTGAACACCATATTGTTTGAAGCTTACAAGCTCAATGGGTAGTGTAAACGTCTTTTTGATTTGTTGTCAGAATATAACACATTTTTTAAGTTGTTTATCCCAGCTAGGCATTAAGAAAGGGCGAGTTTTTTACTCTTTTTGCCCATTAGTTTTTAGTCCACTTATTAATCATGATTCGTTTTAGAACGTATGTTGTGATTCAATTTTATCCTTGGTTTAGATTTTATTTTCCTTTGTTTCAAACTTATTATCATACATTACCATACCCCAAAACAAAGGAAAATAAAATCTAAACCAAGGATAAAATTGAACCACAACACGTACAATGCTATAGCCTTCCTAGCTGCCCGTCTGTTGGAGAAACGGGTGACGAAAATTTCAAGGGCACGCTGACAAACAAGAAGAGCACGTAATATAACCTATGCGCGTTATGCTTGACTGTATGAAACGCTCGTGGTCTCTTTTTCCCTCAAAATTAAAAGTTAACACTGCAAGTCATGCCACAGTCTTAACTCTCATCTGAGGATACTCAATTATTGTTATAAACGTGGATGAGTGTTTACATTCCTTTATTTCTGTCTCTAAACTGTCTACACAATAGTACACAATAGGAAATTTAAAACAAAGTCAACTCAAACACTTTAATTTGTTCAATTTGCATTTCTAAATTTCTGTAGTGTTACTGCTCAAATAACAACCGTTCAGCGGTTTATTATCTTTCCAGCTGCGACACTCTTGAAAATATTAATGGATTCTTATCCTTTGTAGGATCGTATTTTTTTCTTTAAAATGAAAAATTTGACTAATCCCGGCGTGATGTCGAAAAACCGTTATAGATTATGATTGCGTGAAGGTTTCAACTTATTGATGAACTACTGTAATTACATTCAGAGGTCAGGGAAAATCTGCATACGACTATGTGGACTATCTTCCTGATCCTTCTGTTGTTTTGACGGTGTGAGAAGGATAATTTCTCGACTTTCAGTGACTCACAGAAAAGATGTGTTTGCTGTTTTGGGAAATTTTGCTGTCTCTTGTTCCACTTGTAACTTCAAACACAGGTAAGAACTGATATCTTTTATGCATCAAAATAAGCACGATTTCTACGACATATGGATATCTCTCGATAACAAATGTTGAGCAGAAGCGCTTAGCGGATATCAGAGAAATTAAAAAATTGGATTTAGGATCAAAAGAAACGAAGTACTTATTAGCACGTTTCGTTCCAAGTAAATTCATGAAATAATATAAGTTAACTTCAACCAAAACTGCAGACGAAGATTTTCTATTCTCTGGCGATTTTCAACTGTTTCCGGCATTATTTCAAAAATATAAAAGATTTATTCTCGTGATCCACATTACAGACTGAATAATATTTACGATTTATTGCTGAGCGTTTAATCAAGCAAGACCAGCTAAAAGTTGAGGTCTTTTAATTTGCACGTCAGAATTAACGATCTAAAGTTATGGTTAAAAAGGAGAAGCTTGTCTCGCTGTACTCTCCATCCAAACTCCTTATTCGCAGTGCAAGTCTTTAGTGATTTTAATTTTTATACTTACTGAATATGAAATAATCAAATCATTTCATAGTCGGCTCGTTTCTAACATCTTTTACAGTCGTTACAAATAGAAATAGAAAATTGAGGGATAATTTCTCCTTTTTTAAAGTACCTAAGTAATACTATATTCACTTAAGAAAACAGTTTTAATTTAGCATCATTATTGATTCCAGTTTTATCCATTAATTCGAAACTTTCAAAACATTGCCTTGGGGGATTAAGAAAACCCGAAGCCTGAGCTATTATTTATTTATTATTTGTTAAGGCGGCTTTCTAGCTAATTAAACGGGTTAAGCGCTGATAAGTTGCGTTCCATAATAACTGAACCGCACAGGCCAACATGTTATCAAACTTTTACTGCTTCCTCACTTGTCATCTCTAGGACTGGCGGAATGATCTGGAAGCTGTGAGTTCTCCTCCCTTTTTGCCTGGAAGCGATAATATTTTGAGCTCGACATGTGTGCATGGCCATAAACCTTTTTTTTTTCTTTTTAATCACTTGATTTTGAAGAGACAGCTCGCTCAAATTTCGTCATGGCAACTGAAACACATGACGTCGTCTGTTAGGTCTCTACTTAAAGACCTTACTACTCACTTCCAGTAAAGGAGATTCCATTAAAATCAATAAATAATAATAATAATAATAATAATAATAATAATGATGAAGATAATAATAAACAATTGCTATTCAAACGTTCAAATTTCAGCCTCTATAAACCATCGTTTTAGTCAATCATCCGTTAGTTTTCGGGAAAGTTTATATGAATACGACAAAAAAAAAAGTCGTCGTTCTTTATACGCCAGACAGATTTCTTTTGACACCCCAGCGGAAATCTTATATTTTTCTCGATTTAAAAGATGTTTTTGTTTTTCGGGTGCCTTCCCTTGATTCTTACTCAGTTGTTGTTCTGTCAACATCGATATCAGATTCACGAATATGTAAGAGAAGATAACCTATAGTTTATTTATGTGTCAGTCTACAGCAGTAAAAAAAAACTACTAAATTGAGACACTAGAATAAAGATAACCTTCCGATAACGATAATATAAGTAATAGCAATGGTGATTATTAGCTCGTGCGTTTAAATTTACACAAATTTGAAGTTACGATTCATAATGAATTTTATACGCGCCGCAAGAGGTTAATTATAACCCAGGCTGTCCAGAAATTACGTTAACCTTGCAAGCCATGCAGAGGCAATTCTGGTAACCTTTTTAGCTCATGGATGACGTAGTCATGCCATGGGCTTTTGGAGGCACTCGAATGGCACTCGATCACTCACTCACTCACTCACTCACTCGATTCTCATTAATTTATTCATTAAAGTCAGATTAAACACGTTACTCCTACCTCCCTTACTTAGTATTGCTTTTTTTCCAAGTGCCTTTTTAGTATATGTTTGGAATATTCTAGAGGGTACTAGTAAGGCGAATTTTTTTTCCCGACCTATCAATTATAGAGATGGGTTTTGTATAAATGACAATATTTTAAAGAACACTGATAATATCATCCGCAAGAAATGGACTTAGAATTGTTAAAAGGACATTGAAATAATTGAGCGTGGATCATTGTTGTGTATTTGGACGAATTGTGCACATTTGTTCCAGATATTGTACTTGATATGGAGAAGATGCGATGTGAAAGAGCTATTGCGGCCTGACGATGGGATTTCGTTCAGCGAAAAGCTAATAAGCCAAAGAGCCTTATAATCACTGCAAAAAAACTGTCCTCGAATTGTTAAAGCGACATTGAGGAGTATCTATTGAGGTTTATTCAGTTATTTGGACGAATCCGTTCGACCATTTGTCTTGGTATGCAAACAGGGAATGAATTAATGTTGTGTCAACTAGAAGCACAGGTTTTAGAATCAACAAGCGTTACGCTATTTTGCTTGAATTCTTAGGTGATCTTTGCCTTAACGTAGGCTTTTGTTTGTCGGTGATTCCATTTAGCAGTGCTATTAATGTAATTTCTACGAGAAATGCTGCGCTGGTATAAACAAGTCCCTGGCGAAAAGCAATCGGATACTTCGACTGCGTTTTCAAAAATTACTTGGCTAGGTCAGAGCACGTACTGCTTTGAGCTTAATCCGTTTTACATCTATTAAAATAATTTTTAGCTCGTGTTTATCAAAAGCGCGTTCTAAAGCAGTTCAATTCAGCCATAAACCAGGGGCACCCAACGAGGATATAGTTCAAAACCACTTAACATAGTATTGTTGAACGTATTTTAGTATTTAAACGGTAGATATAGGCATATTCTTATCCCCTAAAAACTTTTCATCTGTTTGGATTTCCTAGCTGAAAGTCTAGTGATCCGAAAATTATAGGGCTCAAAACTTACCTTTTCGAAAATTTCAGCCAGGAAAAGGCTCCCGAAAATTCTAGGTGGCCTTTTTTAAGGTAAATATCCGTTTAAAATTGGGAATTATACCATTTTGTCGATGTTCGAAAATCCCGGCTAGGAGAGGCAGGCA